GTTGTAACATAAAGCGAATACACAAGATAACTAGTGTGCTAGCTATATTGTTGGACTTGGACCAGAGAGACATGCGCTTAGATCGCAGCTCAACTGTGGATGTCTCAAGGTGTCCTTTAGCAAGTATCTGTTTTGGACTTACCTCCCAGGTTGGTAGTTTATAATAAGAGTGGAAGGAGGAAGGAGAAGATGAATCCGATAAACAAGTAAATGCAGCCATACATTCTTTGTGTTCTGTTCAGGTACGGCTTCCGAAGACCACCCTACCTGGAGCTCAAAGCTAGGCCAAAGCTTGGTGAGAGAGAGGTGACTTTGGTTCATGTGACTGAATGGATAGAGAAAAAATTGGAACAAGAATTCCAGGTATATTTCTTCAAAGCTCTTTTAATTGTGACTGGTCCTTAGATAATTTTGTCCAGTTCACAAGGCTTGGGGAGGAAGCATGGGGTGGTTGTTGTTGTTTTTGGTTTTTTAAAGACTATAAAAATCCAACTGAAATTATAATGCAGAAAACCTGCTTGAAATTATTGCACATTGACTTGGTGCCAGCCACTCAAAACCAGCTCCTGGAGTAAATCTGCAGGGGAAAAAAATCCACCTGTAATATTTTTGGTGAAGCAGAAATTATGGGGCCTACATTAGTCCTACTCAGAGTAGGCCCACTGAAATGGATGATATAACTCACTTAGGTCTATTAATTTAAATTGGTCAGCTCAGAGTATTAAACTTAGTTGGACTCTGTCCAAACTTCAGATCAGTGCTGCCTTTGGAAATCTGGGTGGGTGGGGCATAAGGGGCTTCTGCAGGCAGCAGAGGGAAAACACACACACACACACACACACAACAAAAGGTAAGTTGCTTCATCAAAATTGTATGGTTCGAATGATATCTTGTCGTCTGAAAACTGAAGTAGCTTTGTCATAAATGACTGGTGTTTCAGCTCTATTTCATAAATTAAAATAAAAAGTTACTGGGGATTATGTTTGGTTGCTGTATACCTGTTTAGTATCATACCTGTTAGACCCACCGATAGGATGGTCTGAAATATTCACAAATTCTAGGTAAAAAAGCAGCAAGCCTAGATTGTGGTTGCTTAAACCCCCTTCGTGCATTAATGCAGTTACTGGGAAACAGGAGACGGACCAAAATGAAGGGAAATTAAGCTTACTTTGGAAGCATATCACTTGCCTGTGTCGTTTGAATTTTCTGATTGGTTTTTTACACTTTGCAGAAAATTTTTGTCATGCCAAACATGGACGATGTTTATATCCCTCTAATGCACTCAGCCATGGATCCCCGTTCATCTGTGTGTCCTCTGAAAGAATCCGTCACAGAAGCTACTGATCAGCCATGAAATGTGAAGACTGCAGTTTACAGTATTAACAGATTATGTTTTCATGTGGTTTTGGGGTTTGTTTTTAAAAAAACGAACTGTTTAGTAGATTTTGTCCTTGTGCCACATTTTATTTTGCTTTCCGAGGAGGATGGCTTTATGCCCATCGTTGCTCCAGTTTGTCCCAAGTGTTGCTCCTATCTCCTTTTCTGAACGTAAATTCCATTTCCTAAACCAGTCTGTGTCTTTGCAGCAGCTGCTGTTGGGCTTCCGACGTTAGCAGTTAACGCGCAGCACCGTTCTGCTGTAAAGGATTAGGAAAATCTCCACCAACGGCAATTGAACCAGGAGCTTTGACGCGAACAGTTGTTGTTCGTGAGCGTGCAATATTGGCAATGCACACTGAGCATCAATGGCTCGTCTTATGCAGCCGCACGAACCTGTCCTCTATAAGGAACAAATTTGCATAACTGGAATACCTCCCTCTCCCTCCCTCTTTCTCTTTCTCTCTCAGGCAGTTGGAGGTGTAAAATGAACAAGTATGTTCTTTCACTTCTGCGGTCCAATAGCTTGTGTCAAGCAAATTTTGAACTGTTTTCTGGAGTTAAGAATGTAAATTGGATATATAGGTGATAATTGTGAAATCACTTCATGTGGATTATACATAGTAGCTTATTTTTTCATACAAAATTGTGCTTCTTTTGGAAACAAGTAGCCATATAACACATGCAGACATACAGAAGTGATTAGCGAGGGGGGTCTAGCGATCCAGAAATGCATTAAAAATAAGGCAAAGCCATGAGACCAAACCATAGTAAGCCTTTTATTTAAGTGAGGTACAATCGCCGTGGCTTGTGATTCAATACCTGTTCTTGGACATGAACACACGTCGAAATGTCTAATGCTGTCAGTACATGCATGTGTGTACTGAAAATGATTGCAGCTAGCCTGTATGAAGTCATTCAAGTCGATTAAATTTGTCTCACATTCCTGTTGCTGTGTTTCCTCGTGCATACGATGTTCATGGATACAGTATGGTGGATCCACTTTTCTTAGAGAGAGGTCAAATCCTGATTGTAACTCATTTGCCATCATTAACTGTGGGCACCTTTTTAGGCCATCTCGTGAAAATGGAAGCTCAACAGGACTCCAGAGCATTACAACTGATAATGGCCAACACTTAACAACAAATTGCCTTGCTTATCTTTATTGTCTTTAGACCATACATGCACATTAAATTGGTAACTATTAACACTACATCATAAATGATCGACACCAGTAACGGAGTGTTTCTTGATACTCAATATTGCCAACTACTTATGTCAAGAGAATGTTAAATTTAGTTTACAAAGCAGGTGAGTTATTCAGCTCACCTCTTAATAGTGTGCTATGCTTTAAGTGGTTTTTAAACTTTTTGTATGTTGTGTTCAGTTACTGTGTATAAAACGTTTCATGATTTGTCATCTCGAAATGAAAACTAATTGAGTGGAGTTTTTTTTTTTTTAAAGCACCTTGCCTGAAACATATTTAAAGAGAAAAAAAAAGCATTTAATATATTTAAGTATTCATATTATTTGGACACCTTTATTTTTGTCATGTAAACACCTGTGACCATTCCATTTTGTGTACAGACCCAACTCTTGTTCTCCGTGTGGAATCATTTCCCTTTATGAAGTCTGCATGTCTTCTTCACAGTTATTCCCCCCACCCCGCCCATGTGCAATAACAAAAGTCTAAAGACTAGATGCACTAATTAATATGTAAACAGATACCGAGATTTGACACAAGTGACTTCATTGCACTTCATTAATTGGACTATGTGGGTTATGACAATGGGTTTGCTTTGTTCTCTGAAATAAATTTATCCCATGTCAAAGAACTGATTGGGTGTCATTTCTGAAGTCGTGAAAGGGGGAGGGGGACATGGGAGGTCCTCTCCAAAAACTGCTGGCTCTCCAGATTTTGTTGCACCTCTGACTCCCATCAGCCCCAACCAGCATGGTTAGAGATGATGGGAGTTGTGGTATACCAACATATGGAAGACTGGTTTCCCATCCCTGGTGGAAACAGCTGCCAGCTAGTTCAGTTATGGATTGAAATTGCCCACTAGCCACTCCAGTCTTCAGCTTCCCTCCCCTGCTCATGGGTCCAAAGACCATGGCATCCGTGCAGCCTCAACCAATTATAAGCTTGTCAGCAGCAGGCAACAATGCCAGATTGTAGACCATTTCCACCGCTATTTTTCCCAAGCAAAGTAATCCGCACTGTTCTATTTATGAATTCTAAATTATTTACCATTTTGAGAACAGCAGCTGTGAACACTGCATGCAGGGCACACATGAATCAAGTTCTCGTTTTTTTTCTGAGAGACAAGGCCATGAAAGACATTCTTCTTAAGTCTTGGGCCTGTACAGATAAGTGTGTTTCTCCCATGTCCTTTGCTTTATCACTGTGCAGGACTTAGTTTCACAAGAACTTTGGCAAACAGTAAAGCCCAAGTGGGACTTGCAAGACAGTGTTGAATGCTTCTGTTTGGGATTCCAGCCACATAGTTAAGATACATGTGCCACTTTTTGCTTCCCCCAATTTGTCAACAGTCCTTGAGCATTTATCACCTGGGTACCTTCATTGGTACTGGGTACCTTCTACTGGCAGTGTTCAATCTCTGGAGACATTTAAAAATAAGTCATTTACTTAGATTTTTTAAATAGCTTATTTACACATATGTCTATGTAGTTCCTTAATTCATACTGAGAAGCTACGTGCCCTTGTTCTTATCCTCTTTTAGGATACCATCCTGTTTAGTCCTGCTTTCTAGTCTACAGGTTGTGGCCTGCTCAATCCTAGCATATTATGGAAGAGCTGCATCCAGGGATTTTTCCAGAGATTTTTTGTACTTATATGCCACACTCCCCTACGTACAGAGCACTCTCCAGCCTGCAGTGTGTACAGAGGTATGTGTACTTTGGAAGTAAAAAAACAAAACTTCATGCCAAGCGGTTGGTTGTCCCTAGAATCTACCAATCAGTGCTACTATTGTTGGCAGCAGTGCAGGCACTTAACAGCCTTCAAATGTAATATATTTACAATGGCCTCTTCCTCAGGAAGCAACACTTAGTTTGGCAGTACTAGCAAGATGTGTCTGGCATTGCACTATAGCAATAGGTGCCCCCTGAGCAACTCAGGCCAGAGGCCTGGGAATCTAAGATGCTTGCTGAAGGATCCCTTCGAATAGCGCTGCCAACCCGTCATACCAGTATTAGTTACAGCCTACTAGGGCAGTGAGGAATCCTCATGGAAATTTGTTCAGTAGCAGCACTGTCACCTGTGACTCAACAGTTGACATACTATACCAGTGGTGGCGAATCTATGGTATGCGTGCCAGAGGGCACTCAGAGCATGCAGTCGCCCCAGCTGGGGGTGGAGAGCTCATGTGCAAGCAGGAGTGGAGGCGGGGATCTCTCAGAAGTGGAGGCTTTGAGCTGAGCCCCCGCCTCCACTCCTGCTTGCACACAAGTAGGAGCAGGAGCGGGCAGCTCAACTGAGGAGCACCTGGCTGCCTTCAGGTGGTACAGGGGCTCTCAGATGCAGCTTCCGGGCTGCCTCCACCTTCCCCAACCCCAGCAACTATTCAACCTGGCTGCCTTCATGGGGTTGCAGAGGGGCTGATGCAGAGGTGGGGGCTCCTTTAAACCTCTCCCTTGAGGGGAGTGCAGCCACGGAGCCTGCACCTCCCCAGCTGAGCAGCCCCAATCCAGCTCCTGTTCCCGTGCAAGCAGCAACAGAGCTGGAGGAGGGGGTGGTTGCAGTTGTGGTGGAGGCAGAGGGACCCAGCCCTGGAAGGCAGCAGGTGCCTGCTCACTTGTCGCCCGGCCCACCTTTCCTCACTAGGAAAATGTAAGTTATACTCCGCTTCTGGCTTCTGGAAAGTTCCAAAACCAAAACACTCATTTCCTGGTTTGAAGTGTTCATGTTCCAAGTAATTCAAGAACTAAGCTGTTCGAAAACTGAGGTACAACTGTATTTATTTTCCCCAATTTTAACTATTTTTTTTATTTCCCCCGCCCGCAGTGATTTTCTGGAGTCAAAATGAGAGCACCCCTAAACATTTTTTTAGAGAAAGAGTTATACCATAAAATTATGTATCAATGGCAATATAATTTAATAAAGATTGTAATGCAGTAACTTTCATGAAGGATTATTTATTACAACAGCAGTCATAAAGAAATGTGAAGCACACAGAAAAAATGAAATATACAGGTTACGGTAAATTCCTGTGTTGGCACTTTGGGGTTGCAGTTTGGGTCCTTTGGTCTCTAAAAGGTCCGCCATCACTGCACTATACAAAGAACAGCCTCCATTTGTGTGGTTGGCAGATCTAGTAAAAATCCAGTTTGCAAACTTGGCCTTTGGGTACTTTCAGCTAGCTTTAGGCACAGGGGGCCCTTATAGGCTGTATCTTACCCTTTTAAAAGTGACATTTAGACAATGCCAGATTTCATAGCTTAATTATGATTCATATAGCACACACTTTCAATAACCAATACCAAACTAAGAGTGACGCCACTACATTCGCACCTTGGATCCCAAAAGCCCTGGATCTTGGCCGTTTTGGCTCCCAAATGCCACAAACCTGGAGACAATTGTTCTGGTTTGTGAATGTTCTTTTGGAACCTGAATGTCTGACGGGGCTTCCGATAGGCTGCAGGAGCTTCCTGCAGCCAATCAGAAGCCGTGATTTGCCGTTCAAACATTTTGGAAGTCAGACTTCCAGAACGGATTCTGTTCGACTTCCAAGGCATGACTGTATATCAGGACTACCTGTGCCCTGTATAATCCAGACTGGCATTTACTTAATGCCCCAAGTTTTTAATGAGGATTTTTAAAAGTATTATTGCATCTTTCAGGAAATGTAGTTAATTTTTAAACCTTTGCTGTAGGCTCCTGAAAGGGATGGTATGAGAACCATTGTTTTGTCATGAACGCCTTAGTTCATTACACTTTCCAGGCATGGGGAGGATTCAAAGTTCTACAATTTATTACGCAAATTATGTGTTGTTAGTCTGCACATGTATTGTCCTAAGCCTCTGCCCAAATGGAAGCCTCTAACATTCCCAGAAACATTCTTTGTTGGGGTGTGTGTGTCACATAAAACAAAAATGACACTATTGTGGACTCCAGGGGTATAATAGTCAGGTCAAATAAACCAAAGGCAAGCTGAAACCCAGTAAGTTCTGGTATACAATGCCAACTGTCTACGGTATTTGCAACCCTTGATGCAGTTCTGGATTGTAGTATTTAATCATCAGATAAAATGTAACTTGCCCTTAAAAGAACCACTCAGATTTCAGCTGAGCAGCACCAGTTATAAGCAAGTCCTTTACTTTTGCACTGTAGCGTAGCCAGTGAGGCCATGGAATTGGCCATGCACCAGTTCAAAGGCAGTGCTTCAAAGTCAACAGAGAAAAGAGACACACAATAGTTTTTTATTTTATTATTTTATTTTAAAATAGTGCATCCCCACAGCAGCTTTAGTCGAAGAGCAACAGCTCCTTCATGTAGTTTTCTTTCCACGAGGAAAAGGAAGACACTAGCCTGCAAAAAAAGAAAAGGCATAGAGTTTAGACTGAGGAACGACAACATGGAGCAATTTTGTACACAGCTTGCATGCCTGCTCTCCTTTTGCAACAGCGCACAGGTGTGCAGCAAATAGTGCCAGCCAGATTGCTGCAAGATAATTATCACAGCCAAGCCAGTCATTCCATAAGCAATGTAATTCTCTTAATTATGGCTGAAAGGAGATTTAATCTTTGATCATAACTTCTTTTAAAACAAGATTGGTTCTTCATAATACTGCAAGCATAAACAAACAAGAGCAAAGATAAAAGTCCAGTCACTGCCATTGCCATTCTCTTACCAGTTACAACTGGTAAACAGTAATGAATATATTTGCTTGTGGAAACATAGCCACTAAAGCGGAGGAGCATTATTCTGTCTCCCACTTGTGAATGCATCTTAATGGGGCCACGTACGGCAGCATAAAGAAGCTACCTGCAGGGTAGCACAACCTGCCTTCTGCAATTTTACGCTGGAGGCTCAGATTCTGTGTCTCGTCATCTGCATCAGCAGTCTAACACGCCAAAAAAGAATCATCACAGCAGCCAGCATTAGGCAGGAGTGTTCCCTTTCTCAATGGCTTTCTCCAGTTAAAGAGAAGAAAAAAACCAGCCGCATTTCAGAGGATTTAGGACTGCCTAGAGAGTCATCAAAAGCACAAAAGTCCATCCACCTTTGTTCTGGAGTCAAAAGTCCACTACCAGTTCCACCCTTGGCAGTAGATGCTCTGCTATGAGCATAACTCCCTCCAGCTATATTCAGCCAGTCTGAGCAGAGCATTGACTATATAAAGGAAACTGAGAGCATGGGGTGGGGGGAGATATACTTTTAAGCCACCATGTTAAGCACTAGCAAGCAATTAAAAGTGGGGGATCATTTTGCAAAATGTACACTAACGTGGCCTGTACCTCAGCCTAACGGGGGCGCAGTTGTATAACTCGGTATCCTATATTCTTGAGGTCCCCCTGCACGTTGGACGTCCTTCCCACTTTCAGCCACTAGGCCCTGCTCAAAAGCACGCAAAACCTTTCCCTGCCCTTTTTCGCCGTGATGGCACGTGCTTTTTTGGGAACGAAGTTCCAAAAAACTTCGGCGCCTGCGAGCAGAAGAAAATCCACGGCAATCGTTATTCCCAATTATTTAGCGTATTATTACGGACTTTTTGCGTGCGCTAAGACCTCCCCCCCCCCCACCAATCCACACTATACCGGACATTATTCCGTTCTGCTTTCCTGGTCCTGCGGGTGACGCGTGGTGCTGATGCTGCAAATTTTTTATTTCAATTTTACCGGGGAGTAAAGCCCCGCGGATCTCCATAGGGCAGCAACCGGCCCAGAGGAAATGTCCTGACTTTGTCCTCGCCTGCACAGGACGACTTCCCGAGATCGGTCTTTGCTTCCCCCAACCACGCAGGGTTCCCGTTTCTTTCCCCTCCCCAGGTAAATCCCTTCTCAAAATAAGGACAAGCGGCACTCACCTTCCCCATCTCCCCGTCCTTGCAGCGAAAAGGCCGGAGCCGCTTTCTCCAGCTCTATTTATGCCCATTGTGACGCGTCAAGACCCGCCCCTTTCCGTCGGAAGCCGCGTAGGATGCGGAGGATGTGGCGAGGTGAAAGTACATTGCTAATGCGCAAAGCGTTTTGTTTCTGCCTCTTGGGGGCGCCGGGATTGGGGCCGCTTCTTCTTTACGGCCGCTTGGAGCCTTGCAGCCTAAAAGAGATCGGCTGCAGGCGGTGTTCTGCACGCTTACCTGTAAACCTTGTTTCATTTACTCTTGAGTAATGGATTGGGCTGTAAATCAGGACGCTGTGCGAGTTAGGGTTGCCATGTGGCGCACGACCCAATATGAAATAAGCAGTATATCTTTCCGTTTTCCCACGTCCGTCATTTCCTGCTTGGTTGTTGTCGTTGTTTTAATTGCTTTTTATTTATTTGCACCGTTGTTGTTTTTAACAGAGAAACTACGTTGCTGTGGTTCTCCGAAGCCGTTAACTAAATATGGAGTGAGTCGGGGTAATTTGCGCAAGTTTTGAAAGGCGTAGTTGCCTTGGCTGCTTTTTGATCGCGGCTCCGGATTTATTTTATTTCACTTGCCTCCAGCAAATGCTTCTACCCGCTAGAGGACACTAATTGCTCATTTTAAAAACGGGTAGGTGGAGTTAGGAAGAGAGTACAGTATTCCTCGTTTCCCCCTGGAAAACATCCCTTGCGGGAGTTGAGCTAAGGGAAATAAATATGTTTTAAGTCCACTAGCAGAAAATAATCAAATGAGGAGGAGATGCTTAATTCCTTTTATCTTTATTGCCGATCCTTTTGGGAAGACAACACCAAAGCAGTATTCCAGCAAGGAACTTGCTAAATCAAGAGTTCCATTAACATTTAAAATATATTTTAAAAAATGAGGAAATTATTAAAAAAATTATAAAAAATTATAAAAAAATAAATATTATAAAAAATAATAAGGAAAGAAGAGGCAGAAATTGCTTCATGAAGGAACTCTGTTTGACAGAGCCCCTGCTTGTTCAGTTTCATTTTTATTTTTTACTTGCCCTTGGACACAACCCTCAACATGCATTTGTCCTGATCACATTTTAGGCAGTTTTGCTAAATTCCAGTGAAACCAAAGGAATTGCTTCCACTTGCTGTAATGACTTGGAGTGGTTCCACAGCAAATGATTAGCTAATGTCACATTCTGACCATTGCTTTCCTTTTAAAACCTGGTTTATGGTTACTTCCCTCACTTGATTTCCATCGCAATTGCAGTGCTAGTCTCCCAACTGCGGATTATTAAAGTTTCATTATCATGTGGCCCCAAAATTCCAGATCCCCCCAAAACTGTTGCCAAAGTTTTAGTGCTGTTTTGTGCTGTGAACTCTGCGTTTCGTGCTGCCCCCCTCAACCAATTGACACAACAAATGCCCCAAAAATCCAACCTTGTCCAATTGACTCCAAACAGGTGCCAAAGTTTAGTGCTGGTTTTGTACTAAAACCTGGGCTAAAGTGGGCTAAGGGGACCGAAGTGGGACAAAGTGGGTTAAGGAGACTTGAGGGGACTTGTAGGGCCTGAAGTGGGCCGAGGAGACTTGGGGGCCCCAAAATGAGCAAAGAGACTTGTGGGGCCCAAAGTTGGCCGATGGGAGTTGAGGGGACTTGAGGGGCTCCTCCTCCACCCTTTAGTCTTCTAGAAATTTTTGGTACTTCTGCAAACCTGAGGGTGATTGCAAGACTCTGTTGATGCCTCTCTTCTGGCTATATAAGCGATGGCATGTGTTATGTACCGAGTTGAATAGGATCCAAAATGCAGCAGTCTGATTGGTCCTAGAACAATAGGATCCAAAATGCAGCAGTCTGATTGGTCCTAGAACAATAGGATTCAGGATGCAACAGTCTGATTGGTCCGCAGGAGCCACCCAATCCAGCTCCAAGTGGAAGTGAATCCGCAACCTGATTGGCCTACAGGAGAATCCCAGAATTAGCGAATCACTTGGGGCCCATTGTGTAAATAATGTATATAAAGCAGACACTTTGGAGGAATTGGCATTTCTCACTACTATGAGCTGAATAAAGAGCATGAAATCCATACACGGCTCTGAGCATATTTCAGCATGGTACTCAGAAAATTGAATAAGAATTAGAAGACCGGCTTTGATTTTGAACAGAGCACCATTTGCCTTGCAACTCCTATTAATTATAACATCAGCAAATGATATCTAACAAGGGCTAATGAGTACAGCATAAAAATATAGATACAAGTCAGGCGCGCTCAGGAAAATCATTTGCTAAGCAGCATTCATTCATTCACAGAGGTCAAATCTCTCCTTTAATCTCCATTATGTTTGTTCAAGAACCTTTAGAACTGATGAACAGTTAATGGAAATGCATGGTTTCTCTTATTATTACAACTGAAGTTCACCTAGGGACTGGAGGGGTCATGGTGACTTTCTCTCTCTAAACCCGCCTGCCAAGATGCAAAACAAACACATCTCTCATTGGACTAACTTGTCTGCAGGTTAAAATTGCCAGGGAACTCAGACAAGCTTTTGTCCCGCTCTCACTGACCTTTAGACATTTTAGCAGCATGGACTGGGCCCTCCATTTTGTCAAGCATGGTTCTTTCTGGAACTTGCAGGATTGCTGCCCTGTTGAGTTTTAATGCTACACACTTCTGCTTCCATTGCTGTTAATTTACCTTTCTGTAAAATCATATAAAGTCTGAAAGATCCATATGGGAAGTGATTAACAGTTCCAACATAAATATTCCAAGCAGGAAAGTTGGTGGTCTTTTTAGCCTACTCTGTCCCTGCATATTCACAACAGCATGTGCTAGAGTACCATTATTTCCCATTAGGCATCATTATCATCAAATGCTATGAGGTCTTTGGCACTGTACTCAAGATTTTTGCAGACTTGAGACATCAATAATGTCAAATATTACTCCCCCTACATATCCCACAATACTGTAGATATTTTGTCCTGCACAATACCCTTCCAACCTGTGGCCTCTTTCTGGCTGAGATGGTTAACATGTCTTGACCCAACTATTTTGACAGGTCTATCTCCTGTCTCCAGAAAATGAGGTTGACAGGAAAAAGCCTAGGCTGCAGAACACTTAAACCAAAACCTAGTTTTGTAGGAACCTAGGGAGCTCAAGTAGAACAGCTCTGACACAGGCTTATTTATTTGTTCAGTTTATATCTGTCACCACTTCTTTTGATTCCAGGAAGGCCTAAAAATCTTGTGACTCCAAACCTGCCCAGGTACCTAAGAAATGTGCGCAATGAGGACCTGACTGGTGGTCCATACAGTTATGTGGGACTAGAGGGGTGGCGCTTTGTGGCTTGGATTTCTTGCACACAACCATAGGAGCCAATTCCCACTGGCCAAGGTCCCATTTGGCACCCCAATAAAATATTTGAGGGGGGCGGACCCCCCCAAGTTGATAGACATTGCCATTCAAATGGTGTGTGCGTGCCGCATCATGTGATTGATGATGCAGGGCAGGGCTTACCTGGGGGGTCCCCAATATTTGATTCAAGTTGGTACCCCTGCGACACATCTAAATGGCAGGGCTGCCTATGGCGCGAGACCTTGAAAATCATTTGGTTCCAGAGTGGAAAACCATATTAAAATAGGTGTAAATGTCTACATCTACACACATTCAAACATATATCAAACCCTCCAAGTGCCCCTATTTTCCAGGGACGTCCCTGATTTAGAGAAGCCGTCCAGGTGTCTGATTTGATCCTGGAATGTCCCGCTTTTCCTTAGGACCCCCCTATATTCATGGGAGAAACGTCGGAGGGTATGGAGTTATCCGACCCCCGGAGCCGTCTGAAGGCAATCCTGTATAGGGACGTTAATGTTTGATTATGTTTTTTATATGTGTCGGAAGCCGCCCGAAGTGGCTGGGGCCACCCAGTCCAATGGGCGGGGTATAAACAGCCAAATTACCATTAAGGAATGGGACGTCCCTACTTCCCTCGGGGAAACAAGTCGGAGGGCATGATCTATATGCGACACACACCCGCGCACTGTGTGTCTCCCTCCCTGCCAGGCATGTTGCCAGCAGGGAAAAGGCGGGGAAGCAGCTGAAGGCCGGCCCTCCTCTTTCTGGCCTCTCCGTTTCATAAAGCCGAGGGTTTCCTCGCGCAGGGCTTTGGAGGCGCCTCCTGAGTGCCAGCCGGTGCCAGTCCCCCGGCAACCCCCGACGGCCTCGGCCCGACCCTCCGCGCGCCTCTCCATCCCTTCCTCCTTTGACGCGGAAGGCAGAGCGAGGCGAGGCTCCGCCTCCGGAGGAGGAAGGCCGGACACGCCGCAGTCAGGGGCAGCCCCAGAGGCTGCCGAGCCGGGCGGGCGGGCGCTGCGCCGGGGCCCGGGAGCGGCGTCGAGAGCCATGGCGCGTCGGGAGCGTGTGGCGGCGGCGGCGGCGGCGTCCAGTGGGCTTCTCCTCCGCCTGGCCGCTCTGTGGCTGCTGCTCTGGCTGGGGCCCCGGGTAAGGGCGCGCGGCTGGGGCTCTCCGCTTTCCCGGGGGCGAGGGGGCGGGTTGGGGTTGAGGGGAGAGGCAGAGAGGGGCGTTCCGAAAAGGCTTCTTAGCTGCTTCTCGCCCTTTCACGGGCATGGGGGGGCCCCCAAACATAACCCAGGGGGGCGCAAAGCGGGGTTCAGGCACTTTCCTCGCCGGGGAGAGATGGGGGGAAACTCGGGCGCTAAACCCCCCTGCCGCTGCTGGCGCCCCCTAGAGCGCAGAAGGGAGGGCAAATGATGGCGGTATTTGCCCCACCTGCGCTCCCAGAGTTCGCCCTCGTTGCAGGTGGGCAGAGGATGTGGGAACTGCCCTTCGGGGTTACTGTTTTGAAACCGATTCTTTATTATTATGACGATTGGATATTTTCCTCGTTTAATGAAAGCACAGGCATTGCCTCTTTCTCCGGGTGGCGTTTTTTGCCGATCAGTTTCATTTGCCCTGAGACATTGGTGTTATGGGGGTGGGGGGAGACGGGGTGTGTGGCAAAGCTGATGTTCTTTTACTTAGTGTATGTGTGGGGTTTTTGTGTTGGTGTCACATGGATAGATCCTCTTTCTATACGCTTGTTATGTTTCCTTGGAAGTGAGAGAGGCTGTGGGGAGAGGTGTGGTCGATTTGCTCGGAACCAATTCTTTAAGGATGGGCACTTGTTGGAAGCAGAGCAGCACCCGGGCGTTCGGCTTTGAAGTATGGTGGCATCCTGTGGCCTGTTCCTCTGCCTTTTCTAGTGGGCACCTGTATGCCACATGGAACTCCCTTTCTCCAGAGCCTCCCCAGGGGGGGCATGAGGGACCCCTCATATCGCAAGGCCGGCTCAGGAGGCCGAGCCCCTCTACCTGCCGCGCCACACGGAGGATTTGAGGTCTCGGGTGCGTAAGAGATGCCCCAGACATCTCACCATCTTTGGCATTGGAGGCAATGTTGCTGGAAGACGGTGATCTCTTGGGAGTGTTGCCCTGCTCATCATCTTCCATTGGAGGCTGATATGCTTTTTGTAGGGGTTCCTTTCAAGCCTAGGGGGTCTGTTGCCATTTAGTAGGGAGAAGTCGGATAATTTTCATGACATCAGTGCTCTCTGCAAGTGCAGTAGTGACTGAGCTCCATGGAAAGTCGCATGTCGGATTATTCGACGTGGGGAACTGGATTTTGCCACGCTTCTGAAGCCCCGTGGATCTCTCCATGGGCCCAACTTCTCAAATTAACATAGGAAACTGAAAACTTATGAGTGACTTATGCTGCTGCTTTTCTCAATTCTAGAAACGTGGGCAAAACTCCTTTTGGTGAATTCAGATGAAGGTGCACATTTGCATCAAAACAGAAAACACTACCAGTGTTTTTATTGTTGTAGAAGACTGCTCAGTTGAATGCACTCGAGTAATTGCTGGTTTCAGTATTTGTCACACCTGACTATAGAGACATCACCTTTTTTCCCTGCATCTTATTTTCTACGGTTACAAACTATTTTTGGTTGACCAATAACTGAACCGAAGTATAATATTTTTTGCAGCATAAGTTGCTTTTCAGTCTTAACTGGAGTACCGGCTGTGTGAACAATACCTCCAGCACTATATTAATATTTAGGGATAGAAGTACTATAATAAGGACACATCTTTTTCGTCTGTAGTGACAGGATAGTAACAGAAATGACTGGTTCTGATCAAGAACTGTCAAAAAAGGTGACAAGTTACGAAGTGGCTATTTTTGCATTATCATTTTTTTAAATACAGCTATTTGCTAATTTCCATTTGGTCTTTACTGCTCCATAGAATCAATAAGCTGCAACATTCCTCCCTTGTGGGGTTGTCCCACCTAACTCTGCCCATTCTGCAGTCAGGGGGAAACTAACACTAAAACTGTTTTCAAAGTCTCTCTCTTGAAGCTTGTTAGGCCTTCATCCTCACGTGTATATTCAGCCATTATTGCACTGTAGCCAGCACATGTTGCAGTGAAAGGGTTATTACTCAAGAACCTCTTCTTGAACTATCTGGCTTACTCCAGGGTTGTTTTATATAGCTGCAGAGATGATATGGGAAGTTGGAAAGAGCATCTGGTTTCCAGCTGAGCTTGGTTTTGTTGACTAGTAATGCAGACTAAGGCTGTGTGTTCAAAGTACCGTTTTTATTTATTTACTGCATTTATGTTCCACCTCAAGGTAGTGTAAATGGTTCTCCTCCTCACTTAATCTCCACAACAACTCTGTTGCACTGAGAGAAGAAAGTGACTGGCTTAAGGTCGCCCAGTGAGCTACATGGTCGAGTGGGGATTTGAACCCAGGTCTCCTAGGTTCTAGTCTGACACTTTAATCACTATGCTAATTCTTAATCCAGCTCCAGCGTGCTCCCACCGCTGGCTTTTGAATCCGTTTATACGTGACGCAACATTCCCCACAAGAATGCCGAACTATTGTGTGGTTTCTTGAGAAATATTGCCGTTTGATGCGTTTCCCCTTAAACCCGGCTTCAATCCGAAAGGTAAATTTAAGCCACGATCACTTCACAATGAAGCTGGAACTGGAAGTGTGTACCTTGGAGACAGCCATTGCACATACGTGGGTGGCAGCTTAATTAGGAGTTTTGGGGGGAGTTACAGTGGTGGGGAATCCAAACAGGTAATATGCATTGAGTGAAGACCTCGCTGCCCCCCTCTCTAGTCTGTATAACAGCATGGGGACGCAGGTGGCGTTGTGGTCTAAACCACTGAGCCTCTTGGGCTTGCTGATCGGAAGGTCGGTGGTTCGAATCCCCGCAATGGGGTGAGCTCCCGTTCCTCTGTCCCAGCTCCTGCCAACCTGGCAGTTGGAAAGCACACCAGTGCAAGTAGATATAGCGGTTTAGTCATGCTGGCCACATGATCCGGAAAACTGTCTGTGGACAAACGCCAGCTCCCTCAGCCTGAAAGCGAGACAAGCGCTGCAACCCCATAGTCGCATTTCACTGGACTTAACCATCCAGGGGTGCTTTACCTTTACCTTATAACAGCATGTAAATGCAACTTGCAAGGCAGTGGTCTGCGGGGGAGAGAAATGACATTGCTGCCTTTTAAGCCGCTAATGTATACCTAGTGTAAGATTATTTCAAATTATTATAGGGCCCCCCCCATTACTGCTCCACATGTCTAGAGATAGCACATTCATATATTTAAAGTCTGTTGATAAAATGACACAAAACAGTGTGAGATTCAAACTAAGAAGCATAGTGGTGTGTTTCATTAGACCATTTTTGATATAGAAGTGTACTAAAAAGAAGTTATGTGCATCTTTTTTCAGGTTGGTATGGTAGCAACTAGTTGTGTAGATTCTCATTTTCAATCTCCCTGCTTATAAGGACAACATAATTAGGAAACCCAGTCTTGGAATGTGGGTTATATTCACATTCAACAGAGGAACTTTTAAGGTCAGGTTTTTTTTATAAAAAAATGCATCATTCTTTTGTACTGGTATACATGTATGATATTATGAGTGAGGTAAGAGAGGCTAAATTATTATATTTCTTATTCACCCCCTTCCTCTTTCAAAATATTCATGCTTAACAGAGTGTTGCCATAATATTTGTAATACCAAGGATTTTCAAAACGAGGACTTCAAATGGGGGGAAAATATCTAAAATCATACTTGGGTTTCACCTTTTCTCCTTTTTAAATCCTTGCATTGAATTGTTGTTGTTAATAATTCACCCAAAGACCTACAACATTAAAAACACAATATTAAAACCAACTTACAGTCACAAATATAAGGGGGGTCCTAAAAATATTAGTGCTAATTTTCTTGCTTTTTTTATTTGTGTTGTGGACAATGAATTAAATAAACATTGATCAAACTTTATGCATTTCTAGCATTACAGAAGGGGAAAATAAGAGCTAGTTATGCTTTCTTGAAGTAAAAAAAAAAGAAAAGTAGCGGAATTAAATTGTCCTGTCTTGTCATAAAAATCATACTGTTGTCTCTTGAGACAGGAATTATTGAGAGTTAGCCCTGAACCCTTTTAATGGGCATTGTTGAGAAAGCCTGGAAGCAGTAGGGTATGTTAGAGTGCTATTTTTTGCAGTCAAAGCCACAGCACCCGGCAAGGGATTGTACCAAAGGGTGCTATTTATCTTATATATTTTCACTGAATTTGTGCAGAGAATAATGTCAGAATGTGCAGTGTGCACCCTCCAAAAGGGCCAAACTTGGAATATTCTAAAACTCGTCTGGTTCACTTTCGCAGTATGCATAATAAAAAATATTAATTTGGGGGAATAAAACTTAAGGTAAAAAAAAGTATACATTCTTAAAGGATGAAATTCACACACAGCCAGCCAGCATTGTTATAGCAGATGGGTTGGAATGGGCATACTACCAGGTCATGGCCTGATCTAAGGCCTGATCTCAGCAGCAGTATTACCACTTTACAAATATATGGTATTTATTTGCCCCCATATGGATGTTTGGTTTAAAAAATGGTTCCTGGTCTAGTGGGCCTGAACTGGGGAGACCTGACTTCAAATCCTTGTCCAACCAGGAATGTCACTGGGTGCGAACTGTCTCTCAGCACAAGGATAAATGGGGCAAACCCCATGTAGGCCTTGTAGGCCTTCATGAACTCCATGTAAAATAACAGAATACAAATGGAATAAATAAGTGCAGCTGATATTCAGTGGGGCTGAAAATACAGGTAATGTATTAGAATTGTTTGATTTGTTGTAGACCAAAAGTAACTTCAGCTTTATTTTTTCTTTTACTTGTTTTTCCACTGCTTCCTTTTAAATAGAAATAATAATGCAGAAATAACAGCTCCCTCTATTCCATTAAACATGCTTTAGTGACTTGTTTTCTAAAACCTATGCATGCTATCAGGCTGTAACCTAGCAATGTAATTAGAGCACTTGCTGACAAAATAAGCTCAATGAATCATAGGGCATATATGATGATCATGCTAGTTGCTTGTGTTATTGTGCAGAAGCTCTCTCAAATGTTTTGCCTTCCCATATGTCCAGCGATAAGTTGCCAGGAACACGATACAGTATATGTTTCATCTGCCCACTGAAACATGTATTGCTCCGGTCTCGTCAAAGTTAAAAGAGGCAGGATTCAGTAAAATATTTGCAAGTGTGACTTGTACAGTCTGACCCTACATTCTGTTCCAGATAATAAGATATTGGGGCACACAAAGAAAGCCAGATGAAGGTTTAGATTAGGAGTTAATACATTTAGCATTTTACTTTCTTCATTGCATTTAATTACAGGCAATATTTCCTCCTCAAAACAGCAGCCTGGGAGGGGGTCATGTGCTATTATGCCTCCCTCATCTGCCCCTCCTTTTTTCCTTCACTTGCTCACTGGAGAAATGAATTACTACGCTTAGGATGTCCAAAGTGGATACGAATATAGGCTCTCACAGATTTTGTTAGATTAATATGTTGTAGGCCTCTATCTGTCTCAAGAGACAATGGAGTGAGCCTCCTGGGATGTGGCCAAACTGCTGTGTTAGCAGAGGTGCAGTGATCTCCCTGGGGTGCAAGCCTGGGCAGTGTATATGGAGGTTCTGGGTTACTCAGATGACAAGACCCCCACCCCACGCCCGGCCTTGCTGATGTGGTCCAAAGGAAATTGGAGCAATACATTTGGCACCAGCTTGACTGCAGGAGTTACTGGAAGGAGGCACTAAGAAAACAGATTTCACCACTCAGGGTCAGGGAGGTCCCATGTTAAAATAAATTCTGGATCTCTCGGTTTGGTCATTCAGTTCTCTCTGGGAAGTGGGGAGACTTGATTCTGCATATAATTAACAACATTTTCATCTCATTAATAGGAGGTCACATTAAGTAGACAAGCTGGTAGAATATCTCTCAACTCTGATATTGAAATCGTAGTCTGAAATATTTCCTTTTCTTTTTTATATTGCCTGCTGGTTTGTAAGCATTGAATTCTGAAGGATAAGAGGTAGGAAATATTTCAAAAAAAATTTAGACATGCCAGATTCTGAGATGGTTGTTGAGTAGTAAACAGTGCATTGTTGAATAGTTCATTACAACTGCCAGTATATTCTAAATTGCAGAACAGGTACCAAAGCTGCCTCAAATTTGTTATAGCCTTTAAAAATAACCTTTAAAGCTTCTGCTTTCACTTGCACTGGTAGACCAGTGACCAACAGCAAGCTAGTTACACCTGTTGAAACCAATATGGTACATTAGTCGTGATTTGTCATTGATTTTAAGAGGATTTAGGTAAGACTTAGGTCTTTTCTAAACAGTCAGCAAAGTAAGATGGTAGAGTTCTGAATAGCTAGAATGGACTGTACCACTTTAGTCCCCGAGTGGGGGAAATAACATTTGTGAATGCACCCTTACATAAACGGTCTGTAGTGGTACAGGCCACTCTATCACCTAGGAGTTCTTTCACCTCCTACTGCATGTGTAGATCATAGGCCTCTTGATTAGGGACTATCAAGTACAGAATGGATGGCTGCTATAACAAGATCCCATACACACAGAAATTTGATATTTGTGGTCAACCTCAGGTGGAAGACCACTTGTTATCTGTTAGCCTGTTATATAGGGACCCAAGAGATCACTTTCTGAACCCTTTGTTTGCACAAAAAAGCAGGTTTCACCCTGGCAGAAATGGTTCGGTTTCTTCTGCGATACAATAATAGCTTTGTAACACACACAGGGGCTCCCTCTATGCAGTGGCTGCCAAATCAATCAATCAATCAATCAATCAGGAAAAAGGAATTGGATGAAATTGCAGTAAATTATTTTGGTGAATCTGAAATCAAGCTGGATTTGAGATCATTAGTGTCTCTGGTGTCTTCTCTTTCTTGAATCGTGGATGTTGGCTTGTATTATGGTTGCATGTTCCGTGTTATTTTGTTGATACTTTTCCTGCTGGTTTGTCATGGCCTTTGGCTAGAACAATAAGCTTAGGAGCAAACAAGTACAGTACGATCGCATCTGATGTGTCGTTAACTTGCGTGATTTCAACCTTGCGCAGTTGAAAGCTGGCCGGTTAAAATCGTGCAGATGAATTGCGCACAAGGTGGAGAGCTTAACAGCTCCTTTTTGCACTGTGTTTTTCCAGCGCGGAAAGCGCTTTTAAGCTCTCTGCCTTGCTTACTAGGCAAGGCCCACTCAGTGCACAAGCTCCAGAAGCTAAGGATATTTGCACAGGGGTGGTTCCAAGGGGGCGATTCAAGTGTGCACATTTTTGCATATATGCGCCACCCCCAAAACGTAACTACCATGCAAGATGAGATTGTACTGTACCATTTATCTCTGAAAGATATGCCACATCAATCTTCAAAGAATACTAAGTTACTAAAACTTATGAGAACACTGTCTTCTTCAAATTATTCTATACAGTGGTACCCCGGGTTACATACACTTCGGGTTACAGACTCCGCTAACCTGGAAGTAGTACCTCGGGTTAAGATCTTTACCTCAGGATGAGAACAGAAATCATGCGGTGGTGGCACCGCGGCAGCAGGAGGCCCCATTAGCTAAAGTGGTACCTCAGGTTAAGAACGGTTTCAGGTTAAGAACGGAACCTCCGGAACGAATTAAGTACGTAACCAGAGGTACCACTGTACTGTAATGTGGAACCTTTGTTTTTCCAGATTCTGCTGAACTACAACTCCCGCCCAGGCATGTTGGGAGTAGTAGTTCAGCAACATCTGGAGGGATAAAGGTTCCTCAAACGTGTTCTGCACCACAATAACTGCACATTGTGACGAATGTGACCCGCCAACCAGCCCATGGTTCTTTGATTTTTTAAATTGCTTTTAATGTAGCTTTAGTTCTTTTTGTATTGTGTGAGTGTAAATTGCCTTCTCTATGAAGGCCATGCCACAGCTTAATAAAAGAAATAGGCAGGCAGATAGCAAAAACAGGAGGTGTATTGATCCCTTGATAAGCCACCATGTAGGATTAATCAGATGCATTCTACATTCGTATCTTGGTTCTCGAATGTACAGTCATACCTCAGGTGGAATGTGCTTCGGGATGAGCGCTTTCGAGTTGCGTTCCGCAGCAACCCGGAAGTAACGGAGCGTGTTACTTCCGGGTTTTGCCGCTTGCGCATGCGCAGACGCTCAAAATGACGTCACGCGCATGCGCAGAAGCGGCGAAAAGCCACGCGTGCGTGCACAGACGTGCCGTTGCTAGTTACATTTGCTTCTAGATGCGAACAGGGCTCCGGAACGGATCCCGTTTGTATCTAGAGGTACCACTGTAATCCGTTCTGGAAGTCCATTCTACTTCCGAAAACGTTTAAAAACCAAGGTGCAGCTTCCAATCGGCTGCAGGAGCTTACTGCACTCAATCGGAAGTTGCGTTGGATATTTGGTTTCCACATTTTTTTGCAAACCAGAACACTTACTTATGGGTTTATGGCGTTTGGGAGCCAAAACGTACGAGTACCAAGGCGTTCAAGAACCGAGGTACGACATTAAGTTCCCTATACAGGATTGCCTTCAGTCATATATGCTGCTTTACATTTATTTCTCATATCATAGACATGTTGGAAGTAGAACTATGGCATGTGATCTTGTAACCAACACAGGGAAGTAAAAAATTGTGCGAACAAATGCCTGACATGCTTTACACAGTTTGCTTTATTTCAATCCCAGGAAACTGGTTAGGGTTTGGTTTTCTGTGCCTCTTGCTATGTTTGTGGCTTGCATAAGAGGAAGCATGGTATGCTAAACTTCAATTCTGCATTTTGACATCGTGATTAAAACTGATGAGAATGGTTTAGAAGTCCTCATAAAATGTTAGCATCCTATCATTTTCACGCTTTAACGAAATGTAAACTTTGAAATGTTCAAAATCTAAGCATTACAATTTAGTGAAATGATAAAATAGACATACGGTGGTACCTTGTTTCCCGAACGGCTTAATTGTCATACAAATCAGCTCCCAAACGCCGCAAATAAAGTGAGTGTTCCAGTTTGCAAACGTTTTTCGGAAGTTGAACGTCCGACACGGCTTACAATTGAGTGCAGGAAGCTCCTGCAGCCAATCAGAAGCCGCACCTTGGTTTGCAAAAGGTTTCAGGAGTTGAACGGACTCCTGGAACGGATTAAGTTCGAGAACCAAGGTACCACTGTATAGACATGGACCAGATGGTTTTTTACTGTGTGAATGAGCCATGGTAAGTCTTGGGTTTGTAAGCTCCGCCACTCCCCAAACTTCTTTCGCACCCTATAGGATGCTTCTGAAGTAGAACTAACCACAGTTCTTCATAATGTCAGAATTCAGGAGACCCTGGTTAGTGAGATGAAGCCAAGATCAAACCATGGGTCCAGATCCTGTCTTGTTCTCAAACCAGTGTTTTAATAAACCACAGTTTCCTGAATTCAGACATGACAGGGACCCATTGGTACTTTCGAATCACAAGCAGATGCTTCCAATCTCCTCTTCTGGTCCTCAAAATAGGAGACAGTAGCTGTAGCTCAATGATTAGAGCACTTGCTATGAATGTAAAAGATTCCAGTATGATCCCCAGCAATGCCAAGTAGAATGGGAACTCAGAATAATAAGCCCCATAGGAATTTCTTAGCCAAAACTTTAACTGTAGACATCTATGGGGTTGTTTTGTTTTGGGGATACTCTGTGGTCCAGTCTTGTTGCACTTGTATTTTTTAAAAAAATCCAATAAAAATCAATAGTAAGCTAAATCCAGATTAAAACATCTGCAATTTCTGCATGTCTGTTTAGGCTTGCCTAAACAACCAGCTTTTAATCCCATTGATGTCAATGGGCAGGGAGTTCCAATGTGTAGATGCTGCAGCAGCACTAAAAGATCAATTTCTTAAAACTACCAAGGAAGTACAGCCGTACCTTGGTCATCGAACAGCTTAGTTCTCGAACGTTTTGGCTCCCGAGCCCCACAAACCCAGAAGTGACAGTTCCAGTTTGTGAACTATTTTTGAAGGCCGAACGCCTGACAGGGCTTCCACAGCTTCTGATTGGTTGCAGGAGCTTCCTGCAGCCAATCAGAAGCCGCACTTTGGTTTCTGAACGTTTTGGAAGTCGAACGGACTTCTGGAACAGATTCCGTTCGACTTCCAAGGTACGACTGTATTATGTAATACCTGTAAAAGTGAAAGTTCGGTCACTGGATGGAGGCTTCTAGGTTTCTAAAATCTGAGTTTTAGGCTTTCATCACCAGTGCATTGTCTCACTAAAAGCCCATGACTTGAAGACTGAGCTCATGATATTAGTTGAAAAATATGTGTCTAGAAGAAGCTATGGATGTTCGCAGACTCGTAGCTTATTTGCAGATGGAAGGAATAAGGAAATGCAAAATTTTACATTTTAAACAAAAAAAAATAATAATGTTCCAAGGAACATGATGAAACTTGGTAAAGTTCTGAAAAACCACCCACCCTTGGGTTTCATTTAAAGGTTATGAATGCCCCTTTGATAAATAACTTCCTCAACGTGCTACTATAAAAATTAGACCCTGCTTTATCTAAATGTCAAATAGGACTGTTTATTCCCAGTGGAGCAGTGGCTGTGGCGTGGCCAAGTTGCAGAACAGACGGAACATTTGCTTCCAGGGTCTTTAGTAATGTTGTAGAAAAGGAGCATTACGAACTCTCATTAGGCAAAGGTTAGCCCATTACATCCTTACTTAAGTGCCAGCATTTGGCAAGCCGCTTTGATTATTTCTTATATTCATTTCAGTGTTTATCCTACACAATCCCAGGTGCTCTGGTTGTGTTTTTTGAAAATACATAACATTATTCAGAATACTTAAGCATGCTTACAGTACAATCCTATTCATTCTTTTCTTTTCTTAGATAGGAGTTTTCAATGGGGCTTCTAACGTGTCATGTTCAACAGTGATTAAACATGGAATTGCGTCTTGTTCGAGACTCCGACAGCCATCAACCCTCGTCTGGAAAATAACTGTCACAAGCTGATCTATCAGTATGCAGTTGGTATCTTCGCTGTTACAGTACTTCAAACTCGTATCCAGAGGTCTGTATCTTTTCAACCTGTAACACTGTATTTCTCCTTACAACTCTTGAAGCCTACCAGCTTTATTGCTAATTGCAGTTGCTCTTCTTCCAATCTGCTGCCGCGTCTCTGGTCCTGCAGGTCACGATCCTTCCTGTCATCTTGTCCATCCTGCATAGTCCATTAAGTTCGTCTACCATTCCTATCTAAGCACTATTTCTCAGAAGGTTAGGGTTCAATGGAGCTTCTGCCTGAAGCGTTCATGGAATTGCGTATGTAGACCTGCAGCCGCCCTCATTGAAATAACTCGACAAGGTACCACTGTATTAGGTTTATGTTATTGGGCAAATTTGGCCACAGCTTTATTGAATTACAGAATGTGAGTGGTATTGGCTTAGGCATTGTTTGGACCCGACTATATCTGACTCCTGCCCGCTGCACAGGAAGTCCGGTAAGGGTAAACCACCGATAGGGGGAGTCCTGTTGATGCAAACCAACTCAAGCTCCCTCTGGTGTTCCCATCAGGGTCGTGTCAAGGCTTTAGCCCCCAACCGGGCTTCGTACAAGATCAACACCCCCAGATTCCTTTAACGGAATACCCTTAAGCATGGAGGGGCAGGTGATGGCCACACCTCCCCTCCCCCACACAAGGTCAAACAATGCCTAACCGCAACCCTAACAAAGTTGTGACGATTGCTACGGGGTAGACGAAAACCAAGTGGCCAGTGCCAGTTTGCCAAATTCCTACCAGGCCCCTCAGACAACTAAGGCGACCAACCGAAGTTCATAGCAAGGCCAGTGCCTAACCTGTGAATAGGGAGGGAGGGCAGGTGATTGAGGAAGCGAGCCAAGAGGAAGTCCTCCGGCTCGCTCCTTGGTTTAAACTGCCCCGGCCACGCCCCCCCAGCCAGCGGATTGGCTGGCCGGGCTCTGACACGGCCGGGATCCCCCAGGCAACGGGGGACAAAGTCCCCCGCCCCCGGTGGGGAGTGGGTGACCACACAGTCCACCGCAGCTCCTCCCCACTGGGAAGTGGAGTGGATTTGCAGCCTAAATGACTGGTGCTTACACTTGGGTAAGCAGGGATAGGATTGCAGTGTGAATGAGATGTTTGTAGTAAGTCTCATTGAATTCAGTGACACTTCAGGATGTGTGTGTGTACTTTAAAATTGCAATCTGTGATCTACACTTACTTGTTTGCAGCTGTGAACCCCATGCCTGTTTACTCAGAAGTAAGGTCCACTACATTCAGTGGCACTGGCCACCAAGTAAGTGAGTACAGGATTTCGGGCTTATAAAACATTAAAACTGCAGTTCTCACCAGCATTAACCCTTATCACCACATGTCAGCCCACCAAGAAGGTCTCAGAATGCTTCTGAAATATATTTGGGGTTTAGTAAGTCTAAGGGTTTTGGTGCTGTCTCCAAGAACAGGTCTCCATGTGTGTGTGATGTTATAACCTAGGCCACCGACCATATTTGAGGGCATCCTATTGTTGTCTGAGACATCATGAATGGATGTAAAGGCAACGGGTTCGAGTTTTAAAGCCCAGAACCGGCAAGGATGTCCACAAAACAGCATTGCTAAAGTGGAGCTTGCAAACAGTTGTCAAAGGCAGCCTCATGCGGATGTGTAATAATACATTAGTCTCAGCTTAGTGTTTCGACACATGAACGATGTGCTGCTAGGTAGGTTTCTTTCGGATGTTAAAGGTTGGAATTTTATTATATTTTTTAATGAGATGGAATTGGTGAATGTCACTTCTGGTCACTGCAGCAACCTGGATTCCTTGTAGGAAAATAAAATACAATATAAGAAAATACTATTCTCTCCTCCCCGTCCTGCCATCAGGCCTCCATTCACTCTGAAGCCGCTTTGCTTCATAAGGATAATTTGGGGGTTTACACATATAACATAGTTCCTGCCTGTTGCTCAATCCCAAAGCCACATGAGCTTTTTAGTTTTCCTTCTGCCAGCAGCCCCCTTTCCCAATATCCCTTCAATAAACTCACAATGCCTTCTCTGAGGCACGAGAAGACCCTGTGAGATAGGAGAAGTAAAAACCGACTGCCTCTGTTGCTTTGTGCCTCTGCTGGTCTTGGCCAAGGCTGAAAGCACCTTCATATCAGCCCGGATAAACTCATTTGGTTAGAGTGTGGTGCTGATAATGCCAAGGTTGCAAGTTCGATTCCCATATGGGATAGCTGCGTATTCCTGCACTGCAGGGGGGTTGGACTAGATCAGGCACCCCCAACCTTTGGCCCTCCAGATGTTTCACACTACAATCCCCATCATCCCTGACCACTGGTTCTGTTAGCTAGGGATCATGGGAATTGTAGGCCAAAACATCTGGAGGGCCGCAGGTTGGGGATGCCTGGACTAGATGCTCCTCAGGGTCCCTTCCAATTCTGCAATTCTATGTTTTCTATCTCCCTCTCAAGACATGTTCCGAAAAGACAAACCTTTCATATTCTTTCTCTTGATAACAGAAGTTGTGCCTCCTGTTATGGATTGAATTATGTGGAAAACCTTTCAGGTTCTCCTTTCTGCCCATCCTCGAAAAATGTTGCAACTCTAAAATCAGTTATGTAGTAGGAAGGGAGAAGTTTGAGCAACACAGGGTCTTCGTTCTTGCGCATGAAGGGTTTGCCCTCTCCCTTCCCTCCTACGCAAAGCTTTTTCATCCTGAAGTCTCTTCTTCAAAGAATTCAGGTTGCCGATATGATACGGGGTGATAGTGCTTATGAAGACTTGAAGGAGTAGTTTAAAAGATGAAAGTTCACTTCTAAGTATAATTAGAAGGGTAGGGATTCACTTTGAAGCATTCCTGGGCAAAATCAGATTGCTTCAAAATACCTGCAATGCACTGTGCAGTTCAAGAAAATATATATATTGAGCTGTTTAAGACTTTATAATTGGTAAATATACAGAACCATGGAAGTGGGGGGGAATCGACAACTGATTGTATAAGTAAATTGAACGGAATGCGAAAATTTGTACGTAATGGAAAAAAGCATTTTATTTTTTAAAAAGAGGAAGTTGTCTTGTTCATAGTTGGGATAAGCTGTTGTCAGCCCAGAACATGGAAGACCATTTTTTTTCTTTGGCTCTGTGGAGACAGTTCTCTGCTGGCCAGATCTTGTCGCTCATTTAGTTTTTAGAGAAGAAAAAACGAGGAACACGAAACACTCACATCCTTTCGGTGTTTTAAAAATTGAAGATAATCACAATTGCACTTCGTTTCTTGAGCAAGGGGTATATGGCTTGCTTACAACCCCCCTTCTCTTTTAAAACACAAAAGATTTAACTTCAAAAAGAGCAAAAGGCATATGTTGGAGTTATATTTAAAATATCACCGAGGATAATCTTATTAAAACTCAGAAGGGAGTCCAGCCATGCAAAGTCCTGTTTTGGTTGCTGAACATATACTAGGGAGAGAATATTTCACAACAGAATATTGAGGAACCCTGTCAATTCCTTTCTGCTTGCTTCCTTTTTTAATCCCTCCAAAGTGGGATTACATTTATGCAATAGTTAACACCTATTCTAAATATTGTGTTTAAATTTTCCGAACTCAGTTTAATAAACTTCCCTTGTCAAATGGAAACTCTTTTTAAAAGAAACGAAACCCTATTTTCTTAGCGATGCAACAGGTGCACAACATGTGTGAGATTTCATGTGTTATTAACCAGCATTGGAACAGTTAAGGGGCCGCTAGATTTCAAGGCTATTTCTTGGAAAATAATCCACTTCTGTTCTTGCGTTCTGGCAGTAAATATTGTCGGCTAGATCTCAGGCATAGGCACCTATCCAAAACAAACACCGTTGGATAAGCGAAGTTTTAATTTCTTGGATGAAGGGGTGACATTTATTTCACAGAAGTGCGAACTACCCATATGCTTCATTGTTTGTTTATTTGCTGATAGTCCGTACAGAGGAGAACGTTTTGTGTCTAAAGTTACTAGTTAGCTTCAAAGTTACTATAGATCAAGAGAGGACTTCCATTTAGGTTTTAATGCTCCAAGAATATGTTTGAAACTCAAAATGAAAGCGGTCAATGCAGAATAGCATTCAGTATTGAGAAGCAAATGAAGAAAATATTTGCTATAGCTATTATGAAGACCTGCTAGCATTTTATAATGCCTTTTAGATGTTACCTTGGGATTGGCAGATGTAACCTATACAAACAAACGTTAGTCTGTTCTAGTAGATGAACAGTTAAAACCAGGATCTTTGCATCCTGTTCCTGACTTGGTTTCACTCTTTCAAACTCAGGCGCAAGTCTGTGTCTTGGTTTGCTCATTTCATTTACCAGCATGTAAAAATCCTGCTCACATCTCCCAACAGGGTAGAGAGTAGAGTGTGGCAGAACTTTGTTAGCAAAAGTGGACTGGATCCTTTAGCATATAGTCTTGAGAATGAATGAGAATTCAAACTGAACAACAACAACAAAAAAGTTGTGCTTTAGAGAGAGCTGCAAATGGCAAATTTATTGAAAGCAATGTCCTGTTTATGTGGTGTGTTTTTCATTTGAAACAGGAAACATTGCAAGGAGGATTAAAAACTGTGCCATCACTTTGTATCTCTTTGAACAAGATCAGACACATGGATAAATTGATTCTGTGACTGATAGTTGTCTTTGTGGTGATACCTGGTGGTGGTGGTTGTACGAGATCTTCAATGTGACTAATTTAAAGCATGTTGTGTGGTTGATTAAATGTTTTGATATTTTCTCCAAACTTTCAAACTCATGCACTATTTAATTTCATGGTGTAGGGTGGGTGGGTGTTTGTGTTTGTTTTATGTCAACATCACAAATGTTTTGATCTGTAAACCGCATTCCGCCAAGAAAATGCTGACCCAGTAAAATATACAATCTGAACAAACTGTTCTCAAAGATCAATATAAAGGGTTTGGTTTCAACTACATTTTACTCATAGTTAATGCATTGATACTACCAGACTGAAGTTAGTTGTGTGCATGATTTTAAATGGGTCCACTCTGAATATGGCTAACATTGGATAGAACTCAAGAATCGTACCCTAAACAAATCTACAACGTTCATCTTTTGGAAGTGTCACGTGGAGTTCAGTTCTTATTGCACCACTTCTACTCCCCTAAATTTGGTGTGCATGTCAGATTTCGTAACTTTTAGTTGGAGAAGGATGTGTGAGAGAATTGCATAACTCTACAAGCAGTTAAATATTTATTGCTGTTTCATTTTCTCTCTCTTGTCTTTCCTACTTTCAGATGTAGGTCATAAGCTTCTTGGGAAGGCAAGGTTCTGGTGTGTGTGTGTGTGTGTGTGTGTGTGTATAACATTACCATGGAAGGCATGGCGTGGTGTTATAAAAGTAGAGAAACAAATTTTGACTCTTCCCTTTGGAGTTTATATGATGTGATGCAAGTGTGCAAGTGTCCCACAACTCCATTCCTCTGGTCGATTATTTTATTTATCTATTTTATCAGCCGGAGGTTCAGAAGTGTGAACTCCCCTGACCTGTGTATTACTGAACTTTCTTTTTTTATGGTTATTATAATAATATATTTATTTATACCATACCCTTTCTCCTGACAAGACTAAAGTTGGCTTTTGGATTAAAAACAAGAATAGCTAAAAACATGGGGGGGGGACAATCATTAAAACAATTAAATCTTAGTAGAATTAAAACTATATACATATATAAAATCTATTTAAATCAAACAAATAAGTTCAATAAAAACTGCACCAGTCCTTTCATTAAAAACAGTCAATTCCCAAAAGCCTGTTGGAACAAAAGAACAACAAGGAGGGAGCCCTTATTTAAAACATATATACAATAGATGGAGAGGCAAAAACTCTAGAAGCTGCAGAGCAGGGAAACCCTCCTCTCTATCTAATCCCATTATTAATCCCATTATTATTGAACTTTCAGCTGAACATTCACACGCATTGTTGATCCCAAAGTGTAGTAGCCGCAAAGAGCTTGTGTTTGAAGGAAGTCACATGTACCGATACAATTGATGCTGTCATCTCTCCCCCCCCCCCCCGATATCGTGAATCTTGTTCTGACTACTTCCTCCAGATATATGCCATTTAAGGTGTGTTAAGCTAAAAGCCAGGACGTGGGTGGCGCTGTGGGTTAAACCACAGAGCCTAGGACTTGCTGATCAGAAGGTCAGCGGTTCGAATCCCTGCAACGGGGTGAACTCCCGTTGCTCAGTCCCTGCTCCTGCCAACCTAGCAGTTCAAAAGCACGTCAAAGTGCAAGTAGATCAATAGGTACCACTCCGGCGGGAAGGTAAACGGCATTTCCATGCGCTGCTCTGGTTCGCCAGAAGCGGCTTAGTCATGCTGGCCACATGACCCGGAAGCTGTACGCCGGCTCCCTCGGCCAATGAGCACCGCAACCCAGAGTCAGCCACGACTGGACCTAATGGTCAGGGGTCCCTTTACCTTTTAAGCTAAAAGCCAGTGATTTTCACCTTGAGAATAGTTGGGCTTACGTTTAAGGCTGCACTTTCTAAGGGGAAGCGCCATTCAACTCAGTGGTATTTGCACTTTCATAGGATCAGGCTCCCCATCGTTTTAAATCATTTAGCTTTACAGGTTCATTGTATTGATAACAGAGCCTTAATAGTTTTGGACTCCTCCAATGGATTGGCCAAGGCTACTGAATACTTCTTTCCCATGTGGTTAAATGTACCTGTCATCCCATCAGACATTACGGGAAAGATAAGGTTTAACACACTTAGTCCCATCCTTGCTTTTGGGACACCTGCCTATACATGTCCGAAAACTATTTCTCCATGTTCCAGGAATAACTCTCCCAGAACGTGAATGACCTGGGGGAAATTTAGCTTAAGTGCCTGGAGAGAACCTCTCTCTCTCTCTCTTTCTGCTGTGGCCTTGGCTGAATTCTGCCAGAGTACAGACTGTTGTGGAACTGGCTTGCAAAGGTGCACGAAAGCACAATATGCGTAGCTTGGGATATCATCCAGGTTGCAGAGTGTCCTTGTAAGGCACTCGGAAGGGATCAACAGAGATGGTATTGGAGCTTTTGCGCAAAAAGGGGTCTTGTTGGGGAAGCAAAACAAAAGGCAATTTACAGATTACCTACTGAAGGTTGTTCCAGAGAAGGGAAGCTGGAGGGGGAGTGAGAGATACAAAAGGAGGCTGTGCGGTGATGCTTCAGTGTCCGGGGAAAGAGAAGAGAGATTGAAGCAGTGAAAGTTCGAAGGCAGGCAGGAGGAAGACCTTCTTTTCCCGTACTTAAGTGGGAAGCCAATTTTCAGCACAGATTTCTTACTGGTGTACTTTTTTTTTATTAGACTCTGCCAAATTTTCTTATTGTACCGGAGTAAATTGATCCTCCTCCTGCAGCGTTTCGTTGCTGATGTCATTCGCAGCAATCTGTATACACATTGTAGGATTCTGATATAATTTACTCATTCTAGTTCTGTTTCCTTGCAGCAGGGGTAGCTTTCAAACCCTATTTTTACCATTTAGGGTATCAAGACAGGGATGTTATTTAGCCCCTCTTCCTTTTAATTTATTTCATAATGGCCACTGGTCCCAGATCTTTATGCTGTCCTGTTCTCTGCTGGGATACACTTATTGCTGTATGCTGCTGCTGTGCTGCTGCTTTCATTGTCCAGAATAGGCCTACATAATTTGAGGCGGGTGGTGGCATTGTACTAAAAATAGCTTGATTACAAATGATAGTAAGTCTAAGGCCCTAATGTCATAAAAAGTATGCAGTGGTACCTTGGTTCTCAAACTTAATCCGTTCCGGGAGTCCGTTCGACTCCCGAAACCGTTCAAAAACCAAGGCGCAGCTTCTGATTGGCTGCAGGAGCTTTCTGCACTCAATTGGAAGCCGTGTCAGACGTTCAGCTTCCGAAAAGTGTTCGCAAACCACAAGTCTTACTTCTGGGTTTGCGGTGTTTGGGAACCGATTTATTTGACAACTAAGCCATTCGAGAACCAAGATACACTGTACATGGGTTTTTAATGGTAGTCAACAAGCCACAGATTCATATAAAATGCTTAGGTGTTCAGATGTGAACTGTGGCTTTCTGCCCTGAGCAATGAAATCAGCCAATTGATTCTGCTAATTGTAGTCAGCAAGCCATCTTAAGGCTTTTTATGGTCAGTTTCCTAAATATTTTTTTGACTGGACTTTATTTATACAGTGGTACCTCGGGTTACAGACGCTTCAGGTTACAGACGCTTCAGGTTAGACTCCTCTAACCCAGAAATAGTACCTCAGGTTAAGAACTTTACCTCAGGATGAGAACAGAAATTGCGTGGCAGCGGCGCAGCGGCAGCGGGAGGCCCCATTAGCGAAAGTGGTACCTCAGGTTAAGAACAGTTTCAGGTTAAGAACAGACCTACAGAACGAATTAAGTTCTTAACCCAAGGTACCACTGTATTAATGATCATCATCATCATCATCATCATAATTTATTTATACCCCGCCCATCTGGCTGGGCTTCCCCAACCACTCTGGGTGGCTTCCAAAAAATTTTAAAATACTGTAATACAGCAAACATTAAAAGCTTCCCTAAACAGGGCTGCCTGCAGATGTCTTCTAAAAGTCTGGTAGTTGTTGTTCTCTTTGACATCTGGTGGGAGGGCGTTCCACAGGGCGGGCGCCACTACCGAGAAGGCCCTCTGCCTGGTTCCCTGTAACTTGGCTTCTTGCAGTGAGGGAACTGCCAGAAGGCCCTCGGAGCTGGACCTCAGTGTCCGGGTAGAACGATGGGGGTGGAGACGCTCCTTCAGATATAGTGGGCCGAGGCCATTTAGGCATAATACGAAATCGGATTGCTTTATTCTAAAATAATGGAATGTGTACAGTGTACATTGTTTGGTTAGAATGTTCTAACATTTGCTGCTTGATTTTGTTTTAAAGCATTGTGCTGCGATACTAGCAAGGTTGAAAATACAAAGCTTTTCAATAACAGAATGCAGTGAGGAGGTGCTTGTTGAGCTGACTTTCTAAGTTGTCCTGAAACAAATTCTGTTGCGGTGGCACAGAAGATACAGCCAGAATTTCGGTCTTCGTGGGTCCTTAGAGATTCTGAGAGAGGCAACTAGTTTCACGTTGCCTGCAATAGTAACTTCAGTTTTAAATAGACTTCTGAAAGTTCCCAGACATGGCAGGTGGCTAAACAACAAAGCACAGTTATTCAACAGTTGTTTTAAAGGTAGCATTGCAAAATGTTTTTGCTTTGCACTTCTGTTTTTCTGGTGGATTTGGGGTATGTGTGGAAACTTGGTAAAAAGAAATTCCAAAGTTGGAGCTGCCAGTGAAAACATAATTTACATGGTGTTCCATTTGATTGGCATTGCCACTTGGAGCAGTGAATAGTCCAAAACCATTTTGATGCCTGAGAAAACCTTGCCCTCTCCAGAGATTTACAGAAGATAGAAAGAAGTACCAGTATATGAATTATTTGAAGAGCAACTGTAACCAACAAATTACACTAGTAGGACTACAATAAGTTTTGTAAGGAGAAATATATGAAGTGTTACAAAGTAGAAAAAGATAGAGATATTGGTTTTGAGTTTGAAATGTAATAGGGAAAATAAGAAATGCATACTAAGAGATTAGATTGGAAAATTTTCAGACAGGACTGATGGAAGTCAAAAAAAATTGAATAGGATGTAAAAGAATGTTTAATTACTGTTGAAAATGATACGTTAAAAAACTAATAAGCATTTATTTAAAAAAAGAGAGAGAAAACCTTGCCCTCTCCCTCTCACTAATTGGGTACATTGCTCCACTCTTTTACAACTCCTGTGCAAGAGAACTTGCCTTTGGATTGTGCTCCAATTCACCAGATCTGCCTATGTCTTCCACCTTTCATGGCACCTCCAAACCAGCCTGATTCACCTGCCTCTCATTGCTCATTTCCCTCTGTTTCTGTAGTTGGTGCTCAGTGTGACATGAGGGCAAGGAGCCCATGGTTTTCAAACTACTTGACAGACTTGAGTTGCAGGAAGTTGAAATGCCAGTGGGGCTTTTAACTTTTGTTCTGAGTTGAGTTGTTCCAGATTTGGTTATTCCCTTCAACAAAGGCATCACCAGTTCATTGAGTTTCCTTTCTGGCCGTGTCCTTTCATCTTGTCATTTGAAATAAATTAAAACAATTCTTTAAAATGATAGTTTAAAAGACTCTTCTTCTTTTTAAGAAGAGTCCTTTTAACTGTCTTTTTAAAGAATTGTTTTAATTTATTTTGACTACTGCAGACCAACACGGCCACCTTCTTGAATCTTGTCATTTGGTTTGCATGATGTCCCTGAATAATATTAATCCTCATTTATATGTGACTCCCTAAAGATTTAACCTGTCTTATTCTACATTTTTGTATGTGTGTGTGTACATTTGTGTGTGTGTGGTTATAGATGGTAGACATGTATTGGCACCTCTCCCATCTTGGGCTAGGGGACCTGTACTAGCAGGAGATCAGGCCTGGGATTGTTATCCAAACATATGCACCTTGACTATTGAACCTTGTGATTCATTTGCTCTCCTCGCCTCACTGCTGTGCTGGGTGCCCTCATTTTCATGGTGCCCATCCCCAAACAAACCTCTTTTCTACCTTCCTTTATTGGAGAGAAGTGGAAGAATCGTGGTACCTCGTCGGCAACCCTACAATACATTAGAGAATTGCCACAATTGTCTTTTTTTAAAAAAACAACTGAGAGCCTTTGGGGAAAACCAGAATATGGTTGTAGGGGTCAGCAAACTTTTTCAGCAGGGGGGCAGTACACTGTCCCTCAGACCTTGGGGGGCTGACTATATTTTGGGGGGGGGGGGAATGGACAAATTCCTATGCCCCACAAATAACCCAGAGATGCATTTTAAATAAAAGGACCCATTCTACTCATGGAAAAACATGTTGATTCCCGGACCGTCCACAGGCTGGATTGAGAAGGCGATTGGGCTGGATCCAGCCCCCAGGCCTTAGTTTGCCTACCCTTGATTTAGAGAGACAGTTCAAATCAGGACTGGTGGCTTGCAGGACGAAGGTCCCAGTCTAAGTGTCCACGTGGCTTTGTGTTAGCCAAAACATATAGGGGGGAATGCAGAGCAGCAACTGCATGGGGGATGCTGGTGGTTACAATAATTGTCTTTCCTACAATTCTTAAATTTCCCTGAGTAAATAATGTTTATGTTTTCTTATTTTTCCCTCCCCCAGAACTGTAGTCACGCCAATTCAGTGACCCTGCCAGAAACACTGCTATTTGTTTCAACTCTGGATGGGAGTTTGCATGCCGTTAGCAAAAGGACGGGGTCAATCAAGTGGACTTTAAAAGAAGGTGGGTATGAAAGATGTCATCTTGCCTTCATTTCACTAACTTTGATAACGGCAAAGTCAACATAATGTTGGAAATGGTTCCAGACATTGGAGAAACCCGGCCACATTCTGAACAGCCTGACCCCTTATGCATGTTTACCTGGAGGAAAGTCCTGGCTTCAGATGGCTGACCTCCAAGTGAGTTTGGAGGGGATTGCAGTCTTCTGCAAGTCCCAATGAGTTAAATGGGATTTATTACCAAGCAAGTGTGCTTTAAGGATGGCAGCTCAAGACTATCTGCTTATCGTGGCGGCTCATCTGCAAGAATCATAGGAAGCTCTGTGGTTTTTAACGTCTGCCTTTAACTCCTTGAAACATTAAGCAAAGTATTGTCATTGTGGGTGTAGCTTCTAAGGTTTTATATCTATGTGGCGGGTGGGTTAATTGCAGCACAAAGTGGAATCACTGTGTTACAAAATGTACATCCATGTTTGGCCTCTTTAGGACCAGCAGTCATGATCTGCGAAGACTTTGTCACCAGAAACCTACAATAAAGTCTCTGCATCTAGGTGCCTGTTCCAGGGCTTCTGGAGTGCTAAGCTTAGACTTTGCTATTAGGGCTGCCTGATGAAGTATAGCCATCTAGTTGCTGCTGTTCTCCATCTAAGAGTGGAAGAAGCTGCCATCTGGATGCGCCATCATTTTGCTTCTCTGAGATGAATATTTGTATCTGTAGTGGGGAATATATTGATCCTTGCAAGGGCCATTTCTTAACTGCTGCCACCAGTCTTCTATATTGATAATCCAGGACAGACACATGTTAGGATGAGCATTCCTGACTAACTTCGAGGCCAATTACCTAACTCTTATTGGAGCTCTTCTCTTTGGAAGGCCCATATTAATAATTGTGTAATCTGATTTTGTTTTGGAAATAGCCTAATTGGCTTGAGAGTATAATATCAGGATGTTTATTTGCTTTTTTAAATATTATAAAATACATGGCAGGATATAGCTTGCATAGCAAAGCCTGCTTTTCTTTTCTTTTTACACCGATGGCTTTGACTTATGCACTGACCAACAATAAGGGACAAGAGATTCCAAGGAGCTGGGATAGGGAAAACACTCCATTTACTTTCGTTGCTGACCTTAGTTTTAAAGCAAATGTATTGCGAAATACCACTGCTACATTAGAACAGTCAGACTGGATAATCCAGTTCTATAGAAAGTTTTACTGCATTTGTACTGTTCATTTGGATCCTTATCTGTTGATGCATTGTAAGGTGCTTAATACTCATTGGTTTGGTTCCATATACAAATTAAAAAGTGTTCTGTATGCTAAAAGGAACATTAAGAGTCAGTAACATCAAGGACTTCTTTTGAAAGCTTTCCTGTGTTCCCTGTTATGAAATATCTTGGATCGGGATACTATGGGAATTGAGTTTGCCAGTTACACTCTTCAATGCAGAGCTGTGACATTTGAGACATCTTTGACGGTGACTATTCTGGTATAAGCCTTATCAAATGATGTCCCACCTGTAGTTGAGTATTCATCCTACTTCTCAGTTTGTTTTAAATACTTATTTCCCAGAGGTTGGCATTCCACATGTTGGGAAAAAACACATGCTGGACTAAATGAATAATTTCTCTCATATCATAGGTTTCGCCTTACATTGTTTTGTTTTTAATATATAGTATTAATCTGCAATGCCTAGCTATATGCTGAGTAAAGGGACGACAACACAGGATATGGGTTTGGGGTTTTGATTTAGTTGGGTGCCTTTGTCACAAAATGTTTATCATGACTGTTGACATGTAAAACATTGATATTATCCAGGATTTTTACAGAGCCAGGAAGGATGTGGGAGAGAGAAATGGCCCTGGTAGGAGTAGTCTTTACTTTGCAGAGATTTAAAATAACAAGTTGGTCTTGGTAACTGACAATTGATAAACTCAAATCAGATAGAAGAAAAATATGCTCTGGCCTTTTGACATTACCTGCAGCAGTGCAAAGCAGTTAAGGTTTTCCCCCTCAGGTATCCTTTGAAAAACCTGAAATGCAGCAATCACTTGAGAAAACGCACTTCTCCCTGCTTTAGAGAATATGAAACTGCGAAACAGCGTTCCTGCAAAGCTTTTGGGGCATAACATGATAGTTATTTGCCTATAAAAGTAACTATTGAACAAGTTTTGCAGTGTATATTTGTGAATTGGACAACTCGGTTTCCCCCCTACTCAATGAGATACTTGTGTATGCTTTTTTAGGCCAATGATGGGAATCCTGTGGCCCTCCAATTGTGGCCAGGCTGCATATCCCTCACATTCCCTGACCATTGGTCATGCTGGCCAGGGCTGATTGGAGCTGTAGTCTAGCAACACCTGAAGACCACAGATTCCTCACCTCTGCTTTAGGCCAGTCACAAACACCAGTAGTTTGACAAGAACATGGGATATGCAGTCTTTGCTGTGTGTTGATTGATCCCCTTTTTAAATGATGTAGTTCAACAGGGTTCCATCTACCTAGCAACTTAAAAAAGCAATTGCTTCATGCAAACATTGTGCTATATAAGTCTACCCTAAATCATGCTAATAAATAGAGAAAGAGGTCGGCTTTGCTCAGAGCAGTATTATACTATTATGCTTTTAGGGTATGTGTCCTATTAACTGAAAATTAGCAGTTTTTGTATATCCTCTTAGAGGCTATAGTTTCCTGAGAACGCTTAATTAAAAGTTTCTGATGGGCACATATGTTAGTCTAGACAAGGCCAACAAGATGTTGGGAATTGTAGAGCAGGCATGTACAGTGGTGCCTCGCAAGACGAAGTTAATCCGTTCCACGAGAGTCTTCGTCTAGCGGTTTTTTCGTCTTGCGAAGCAAGCCCATTGACGGATTAGCGCTATTAGCGCTATTAGCGGTTTAGCGGCTATTAAAGGCTTAAAGGCTTAGGGGATTAGCTGCTAAAAGGCTATTAAAGGCTATTAAAGGCTTAGCAGATTAGATAAAGGGGGAAAGCGAAAAAAATCTCAAGACTCGCAAGATATTTTCGTCTTGCGAAGCAAGCCCATAGGGGAATTCGTCCTGCGAAGCAACTTCAAAACGGAAAACCCTTTCGTCTAGCGGTTTTTCCGTCTTGCGAGGCATTCGTCTTGCGGGGCACCACTGTAATAAACAGGTTGGTAGAGGGCCTGGTACAGGAATATGTTCATAATCTTGCAGACAGAGTCTTATTTTAACTACAGACTGCTAGGGAGCCCAGGGATCTGTGCTGCTAAAACAACAGCCTTTTCCTGTTAAAAATGGGTTACATAGACTATGAACAAGGCAAAAGGAAATTTATTTGCCAGTTTGTCTATAATGGGGAGCAGACATGTAATAGGGGCCTGTATAATAAGGTTCCTGGTTCAGTACCTGATATCTCTGCTGAAAAGCATCTTTGGTAACAGGCTTGTGTAAAGTCACAACCTTGGACAGACAGTGTTGTGCCTGGCAGACAAACAAAATCCAGTACCTGAAAGGGAGAGTTTCTGCATTTGAAGCTGTGCATCATGCATGAATATATGAACCATACTTATCAACAATAACTAAACAAACATTCCCAGTTAAAATATTTACTGGCTAAAGGTTTGGATGTGCTCTGGAAAGGAAATCAACTTTGCTTCAATCAGTTGGCCCGGTTCGCATGTCACAGCAAACCATAGTTTATGGTTCCTCTGTGTGTACTGACCTGGGCTGTTTCACTGCCCCCCCCCCCAAGCATATGGAGAATACAAACTACTATAGCAAACTTAGCATTATATGTGAACCAGATAACATTATTTGCTTTGCTTCAGACAAACCTTGATGATAAGGCAAGGTTTGTTCTTGGCTTAGCAGTTGTGGTTTGTTTGAGTGAAACAGTGATCCCTGGTTTGGACATAACAGCTATGCCAGGGTTTGGAGTTTGTTTTCTGTGCATGCTAGCAGGGAGGAGCAAAGTAGGTGCAATTGGTTGGTACGTGGTTAGCTATGGTGACATGTGAATGCTGCCATTTGAAGGAACAAAAACTTTTTAAAAATGTTGCAGTCATAAAAACTAACCTGCCACATTCAAGCAGGCCTTAGCCATGAGGCTTCAAAAGGAGATGTTTAAAGTCAACCTTGGGTATTATTTTTTTTTAAAAAAAATCAAGATAAAGCAGTTTTTGTGACCCTTTCAGGAAAAGAAACTGGAAAAAACTGCCCTGGTCATTGCTCAAGTTCAGTTTTGAGCTGTCTTTCTAACCTGAACAGCTTATTTCTTCCCAGATGAGATGTTTCTGTCCCTAATCTGTTCACCAAGGCAACTTGCAAAGTCAGTTGGTTACTTGCCTTGAGCAATGCCTTGAATATTATTTGAACTCTTGAATTCCACAGAGCCACTACCTATTTTCTTCTTTTAAACACTTGAGAAATAGCCACCATGTTCTCCTTCCTTTCTTATTTTTTTATTTAAACCAGTTGGTTTCAAACAAATACTTTAGGCCATGGTTCTTCTTTCTCTTGTTTCATTCAGTTGCTGTGTTTGAACATCCAGATTAATCTTAATTATACCATATGCCAGGATGGGCAATGTATGGCCTGTGTCCAGAACATCCAGGTGAATTTTGCTTGGCTCTTCTAGCTACTAGTAAGGTCAATAATCTCAATTCTTTGGATTTTGTTCCTTATGTAGCCAAAATGCTACTAGAGGGAAGGTATCAACAGGCTTGGGAATACCCACAGTTTCAGAAGTTTTTTTGGGTTTTTTTAAAGCTTGGGAGATGAGAAACCTCCTGGTAAGTTTCCTCTGGAGATGGGGTGTGGAATGGAATACCCTGGAAAGGGCATGGCTGGCTGGTTCGGACCTGAATTCAAAACAGCAACATGTTGTTGCAGATCCCCTTTGTTCCTTTCCTAAAACATCTCTCTCACCCTTATTGTTTCTGACAGCAACTCAAAAACATGGGATACTTATGTATCCTAAAGATTCAGAATTAAAAAGGCTGATTGTAAACTGCTGTGGGGCTTGTTTGTTTGTTTGTTACAATCAAGCATTATATAACTTATGAAATAAATAAAAAAAAACCTCGATTTGTAGGAGGGGAGATATCTTCAGAATTTTAAAGTTCATGGTTTTACGAGTAAAGTGGTACCTCGGGTTACGTTACTTTACTTTACAAGTAAAGTGGTACCTCGGGTTACAGACGCTTCAGGTTACTTACGCTTCAGGTTACAGACTCCGCTAACCCAGAAATAGTACCTCGGGTTAAGAACTTTACTTCAGGATTAGAACAGAAATCATGCGGCGACAGGGGGAGGCCCCATTAGCTAAAGTGGTACCTCAGGTTAAGAACAGTTTCAGGGTAAGAACGGACCTCCAGAACAAATTATGTTCTTAACCTGAGGTACCACTGTACTTTGGACGTTGGCCAAGGTCAGATCTATTGAGGGTGTTCAGGGTCTGTTCGGAAAGATTGTTGTCTAGACTGAGCCTTTTGGATCCTACCAGTTGAAAACAAGTCCCAATACTTGCATCTTCAGTTCCACTATTAAGGAACTGTGGGAATGTAACATAATACAAGCAAAAAATATTTGGTAATCCTTCATCATTGTCATGCATCAGTGAAATTTGTACTGCCATGGACGTGCTTGAGATTTGAAGAGCCTAAAAGGCAGCAACAAAAAACAGACAAAGTACTGTTCCTCTGTCACACTATTTTGGAACGATCGTCAGCTTGAATGTGTGGGCCCTGGGCTGGGTTGTCCTCTGGTTTAGGATGGGTTGAGGCACCATTTGAGATGTGTGTTTAAGAAAAGGAAAGGAAAAAGAGGAAAGGCGGGGGCAAAGAAAAAGACCTGCAGAAAGAGACGGGCATATGACTAGCTAAAAATTACCGTATTTTTTGCTCTATAGGATGCACTTTTTCCCTCCTAAAAAGCAAGGGAAAATTTGTGTGCGTACTATGGAGCGAATGCGGGGGGAGGCAGGCGGGAAAAGCCCCCCACCTCCCAGAAAAGCCAGGAGAAGCCGTGCAGCCCTTTTAAAGAGCGCGCGGCTTCTGCCGGTTTTGCGGGAGGTGGGGGCTTTTGCGAGAGGTGAGGGAATTTCCCCACCTCCTAGAAAAGCCAGCAGAAGCCGCGCAGCCCCTATAAACAGCGCACGGCTTCTGCGGGAGGTGGGGGAATTCCCCCACCTCTCGCAAAAGCAGGAAGAAGGTCTGGGAGAAGCTGCTCCCAGAGCTGGGGGGGGGGGATCATATTTTTTCCCCTTGATTTCCCCCTCTGAGAACTAGGTGCGCCCTATGGTCAGGTGCGCCCTATGGAGCGAAAAATACGGTAAATGGATCCTCAGATTGGGGGTCCAGATGGGTGCTTGGTCTGAAAGTGATAAAAAAACCCCACTAATGCATAAAGCTATAACCTACACTTCCGTGTACGTATGTGAAAACAGTGCCTGTACAATAATGCATGTCAAAGATTTGGCTGCCTGTTCTGCCTTGTGTACACATGGTGGAAAAACAAACAAACACAGTAGGCGATAGGTTGCTGCTGTTTGGGCACATGGCAAAACAGACGTTTGTGGTATCCTACCGAGATTAAATGTGCCTTTATAAAAGTTGTTTGGCAAGCAGGAATTGAACAGGGATGGCATTAGCTACTGGTGTGGAGATCCAGTAATGGGAGGAAACATGAACAGCTAAGCTTTGCCAGCAAAAGGTGGCAGCCCTGATTATACAGAAGAGATTGCCTGGCGCAAAGCAGTCCGGAGCCTGCCTGTAAGAGGCCTGCCTGTTCTTATTTCTTTGCTCTTGCATCATTTTGTTTGCTTGAGGAGGAAGCTGATCTAAAAACGTTTGTAGCAGCAGATATTGTTTGCTTGTAGACCTGTTGTTTTTTTTTAATTCACTGTACTTACTGCTTTAATCTGCTGAGGCCAGGGTTTTCTGTTAAAAATCTCTTATTTCTAAATTTTTCCAAACACTTAAAATTATTCCAGGCAGGTGAGGATGCAGCCGTGTGCCTGTCTTCTGTGTGTTTTCCACTTAACAAGCAATAGAAGGAGAGAGAAAACACTTCAGGCTTGTACAGCTGTTGAATGAAAGCACTAGTGGAAACGTATGCCTGTTTACTTGGAAGTAAGTCCTATCCTTTCAGTGGGACTTACTCCAAGTAAGTGTGCATTAGATGTAATCCTTAAACAATTTGCGTGTGCACACACACACACACACACTTTTATTTCCCTTACTCCTCAAACCTATGTGACAAATACATTTCTAGCGTCCAAAGCTTTTTCAGAAGCACAGGTCAGAGGCGATAATTTTTCTGAGGAGTAGTTGCTGGAAACCACAGGAGGGGCCAGTGCTCAGATCCTGCTTTGTGGGGCTTCCTGTAGGCATCTGGTTGGCCATTGTGAGATCCAGGTGGTGGTTTAGATGGGCTTCTGGCCTGATCCTATACTGTTCTTCTTGCATTCTTAAATTAGCTTCGACGCACTGGGGTCCTTTTGTGATCCTGTGGCGTTGCTCTTTCTGTGAGCAGCTGATAGTGGAATTAAAATAACACCATATTCCCCATTCCATTCCCCAGACGCAAGATCCTAATATATGTGTAGCAAGTTCATTTTCAGCAAAGATCCAGCTTCTCTATTTGTAATCAATTTTTTTTATTTTCCACATTTATAACAAATCTAACATATAAAAGACACAAAACAAAACACATTACAATACTAAAAGAAAAAAGAAAGAAAAATAAAAACACTTATAACTTCTAAAATCCAAATTAACTTTCATTGTTATCGACTTCCTCAAATCCCCCCAACTGAATTTCATTGTGACACCTTTGTAACAGTTCTCCAAGATCATCTTTCTAATAAAATTAACTCCTTCAATTTACTATCTTCATCTCTTTTCTTATTGGCGTAAATCCAAAAGATCCAGCTTCTCTCCGCTCTTGGCTCTTTAATTAGTGGTTTCCTTCCTGCAACTTTCTTTTAAAGTGGCTTATGTCCCTTAGCTGAGGAGAAACATGGGAAAACACTAAAAAGAAAATAGTAGACTGGCAATAATGAGGTAAACGGTTGCCCATTCTGGAGGAAACTGCTACAGTCAGAGAGAGGAACTGAGCGCTTTTCACAAAGCATCCCTCTCTCCAAGTCTTATCTCTTGAAATGATCTTCAATGCAGGTGATATTCTGCCCCTTACACTTATCAGGTTTCCATCAGCTCTCTGTCATCTTGAACATTACAGGGCATCTATTACTCCGTGACAAGGGAACAGATCCTTACGTTTCTGGGAAGTTTAGTGGAGTCAAGGGCCATACAGTGATACCTCAGGTTACATATGCTTCAGGTTACATACGATTCAGGTTACAGACTCCCAAAAATAGTACCTCAGGTTAAGAACTTTGCTTCAGGATGAGAACAGAAATCGCGCAGCAGCAGCGGCGTGGCGGCAGCGGGAGGCCCCATTAGCTAAAGTGGTGCTTCAGGTTAAGAACAGTTTCAGGTTAAGAACGGACCTCCGGAATGAATTAAGTTCTTAACCTGAGGTACCACTGTACAGTGCAATTGGCATAAATTATACAGTGGTACCTCGTTAGCGGAGTCTGTAACCTGAAGCGTATGTAACCTGAAGCATCTGTAACCCGAGGTACCACTGTAATTTGCAATAATAAGATAAGCAAAGACAGGTTCCTGCTCCAAAGAACTTTCAACTGTTTTTTAATGGTACATAATAGGGGAGGGGCAAAAGTGATAAAATAGTTGAGTAGGTGGGACGAAATGAGACAAGCTAAGAAATGATACGTGTGAACAGTGAGCTGGATGGGGGGGAAACTTTCCAAACTCAGAAACGTTCAAGTGGTATATCAAGGCCCACATTATACCTAGGCCGCTGCCCAGCCTTTCCTTCTTGGGTCTTGTTATTATTGGGACTTGGTTCCTGCAAACCTGTAATCTCCTTGACAGGTGAAGCAGGTGACGGCAGCTTTATCATAGACTACAGGCTTGATATGAGGTCAGGATGTTGAATTGCTTTCACCTCAACTTTTTGCTGTTTTTGTTTCTGCAGATCCTGTACTTCAGGTGCCTCTACATGTGGAAGAGTAAGTCTGCTCTCTTTCTTTCTCCCCCCTCCGCCCCTGATTCCTGCAGATACAAACCTGGACAAGTCGTCCAGGCAAACGCTTTATAGTTACAGGGGTGGTCAGTGAATTAGCCCAGGTAGCTGATGCAAAGATCCCAGTTCAGTAAGATGAATAATGTGCTTGCAAACGATAGTATATGAATGCATGAGGGAAAGATGTTTCCAGTCCATTCCATCCTCAGAATCTCCCTTTGCCGAACTCCACAGACGAAGTGGGGAGACTCCAGAACTCTAGAAGGGATCAGAAGGCTGCTTTTGCCATAATCTGGTATTTTTGGATTACCAGTCGAATATTTACACTAGGAAAGGGAGACAAATTCAGCCCTTGTTCCATTCACTTAGCCCACAAACAAACAAACAAACTTTGTCTTCCCAATAGACTGTGAGTTAGGTAGAAAAGGTTTCTTCTTGCAAAGTGATTTTCAGTTGTGCAAGGGGGTCACAGTTGTCTCTGATTTCTGTTTATTTCCTCTTTGCCAATGCAGCCCTAATACTTCCCACACTGTTCCTGAGGTTCCACTGACCCCCCAGGACAGGCTTTGTGGGGAAAGGGGCAAAAGACCAAAGTGGAAGCCTCATTCTGCAAGCACTTTCATAGTTCTTAGCCCTAGGCTTCTAAAAATCCTTGGCCATATTTCCATTTTAAGTAGATTGTGTGGGCCTGTTTAGCAGCTTGTTCCGAGCATATTAATTTGGGAGCAAGTTTCATTGTCTTCTAAGTGAGCACACTTAGTTATTGTGCTGTAAAAGTGATTTTTGAGTTGCATTTCATTACAAAGATGCCGGGAAGCCTTATGCTGACATTGTGCTTTCCAGAATATTATTTTATTTAAACGAATGCCCTATAGCTAGCTGATCTCGCCAGCTTTTTACTTGGCCTGTGGCCATACTTTTAACTAAATCAGAAATTAACACACTGGGAGTTTTTTTAGTGACTTAACTCTATGCTAAAAGAAAATTCACCAGTTCAATTTCTGCACGTCAGGCTGCTGTTAAAGCCAGCAGCGCAAGACGAGTAAAACATGTTAACTTACAGTAAGTGTGGTTTGTTTTGATGTCATTTAGGAGAAGCGTTATTGCAAACATTCCCTAGAACTAAAATATAACCTGGCTTGTCCAAAATGTAGTCACCCTTATAAGAATATTGTGGTGGAGAACAATATGGTCTCTCAAGACCAGGGCTCCGTATTGCCATGGAAAGTATTCTAAGATTTAATTTTCAAGATGGCAAAACCTACTGCCAACTAGTTTCCAAACATACTTAACATTTTAAAAATCTGGTTTTTGCAAACAGAAACCTGTGTGTACCAATTCCAAAGTGTGACTGTAACTAAGCTGTCATCATCAAGTTATTTCATGTAACATGACTTGGTAATTGAAGTCAATGGTGCTATTCAGATATAACAAATTTCAGAATGATAAACCATGGCTTTACCCTGGTGGAAACAGATGTTCACATGCTTCCTTCCCCCTTCTGCTGTGCACCTTATTTCCAGACTTAAACCAGTTTCCTATTATGTCCAAACAGGGAAATAGCGGCCACTTGTTCTCTCCTCCCTTCTCTTTTGATCTGAAATCTGATATTTCCATACTTTCCTGTGACATTTGGGCAATCCCTACAAGCCAGGATATCAAACCAGAATTTGATCCTGGTTTGATATCCAAGTTTATGGAGAAATCTTAAACCATAATCTCTCCATTCAAGATTTCCCCATAAACTTGGATATCAAACCAGAATCAAATTCTGGTTTGATATCCTGGTTTGTAGGGATTGCCCAAACCACAATTTAAGAAGGGTGGCTTACAGCATCAATCATCGCAGCAATAACTAAAACTATTTACATAGCACAGCAGACAAAACAAATTCGGTTAAACACCAGATTACCTTCTCCCCAAAGCCAGAATGAACAAATGCACCTTTAACATTTTCACAGTGGGCAAGGCAGATACAATTCCCCCCTCCCTTTTGGTTACCCTTTCCTATACGGAGGTACCTCGGAAGTCAAACGGAATCTGTTCCGGAAATCTGTTCAACTTCCAAAACGTTTGGAAACCAAGGCACGGCTTCTGATTGGCTGCAAGAACATCCTGCAGCCAATCGGAAGCTGCGTCGGATGTTCAGGTTCCAAAGAACGTTCACAATCTGGAACACTCACTGCCAGGTTTGCAGCTTTGGGGAGCCAAAATGTTTGACTCACAAGATCCAAGGTACGACTGCAGTCTTTTACAGAATGTCCAAGATATTTATCTTTGAAGCACAAAGTTGAGTCCTGTCTGGCATAGGTAGCTGGTAGAATGGACTGTGCTTCGTCAGGGTGCAAGGCGAGGGGTGCCATTTTTCATGCCTGCCTGCATTAACAAAACAAACACAATAGCATGTGGGCTGCACTCAGAGCCGGCCCACCCATTAGGCAGGATCGGGTGGCACCCGCAAGGGGCAGCACCCCTGTTCTGCCACCCAGTGTTGTCGCTGGTTTCCCCTGGCCTCTAATGGTAGAGAAGGACTGGTGGCAAAGCTCTGTGGGAATACCAGCCATCCTGCCAGGTCGGCTGGGGCGGGGCACTCCGCTTCTCAGCTTTGCTGCCAGGGTGGTTGTGGAGCTCCCCCCGCCCCGCCCTGGCAGTGTGGCAGGTGCTGAAACACCTTGGGCTGCCCCCAGCTGGGCTAAACCCTTTCCTTCTGGAGTTCTAGCATTTTTGCTTTTTGTTCTACTTGGGTGATGTTTTTCATACCGGAGAGCATTCAAAATGGCATCCTTCGATCTGAAGTTGTGCAGCCTTGCTCTGCACCCCAGAACTCTTATCATTTTCTCTAGTTGCATGTCGAGATTAGGGCTCCCCCCCCCTTTTAAAATCAGTAGTTAGAATTCTACTTTACTCTAATTATTCAGGTGAGAATAAAGACCCTTAGCCATAAAGTGCATTTAGATTTGTACTTTTCTATCAGCTAACAAATTACAGTCCTTTGTGGTACTAGATCTGAAGATTTATGGAAACAGCAATGTACATACTTAAAATAAAGGAATGTTTTCAGGAAGGAGCACTGAAGACTGGAACAGAGTCATTAAACTAACATCAATGGAAAGGTGGCACGTTACTTGCAAAATGACTGTGTTTATCCTGTCCCACATGGGACTGGATCTCTGGTGATTTCATGTGCTGTGCCGAGTTAAAAAAACACACACCACATTTTACTTTCCCCCCCTAAAGAGAGAGAGAGAAGTAGCTGCCTTCACCAGGAAGCAAAAACTGAATATTGTTGTGCTCGCCCCCGATGCACAATATTAATTGCTGTTTTAATAACTTCTTAAGTCCTAGACCAGCCTTTCTTCCCGATCCGAATGATGGAAGTCTGTACACGCTTGGTGGCAAGAATAATGAAGGCTTGACCGTACGTATAACCTAATCGGACAATAGCTGCATTGTTTCAATAGAATAAGACACACGGTGACACAAGCCATGCTTTCTTTTAGCACACTCAAAGGCTATCCCTGCTGCTCAGAGCATGTCTTTCTGCCAGCCTTGATTTTTTTAAAAAGTAACTCTGCAGAAAGAAGCCTTCCTATCCTTTACCTATACCTATCTTTATTCCAGTGCATGCAAACAAATCTAGTCTTGTGGTTGAAAGTTTTCCCATTCTGGTTCAGGGGCCAAGGATGTCATAGTTCACCAATTCATACATAACTGCAAACTTGAGATTTGCCTGAGCTCGGAAGTTGAACGGGAAAATTGGAACAGGCAGGGATGGGGGTAAGAAAAGGCAGGAAGAATTGTGAGCCCAGTTGTCCTTTGGTGTTACGTGAGAATCAGCCTTGTGTAGCAAAAGGGAAAAGATGCATCGTATGCAAACATAACCAGGGAGTGTGGCGTTCTTTGTTCAAAAAAGGAACAGACCCACAGACAAATCTACTTACTATTCCTCTAGGCAGCAGACGTATCCATCGATAGTCACGTCGTGCAGAGATTTAGGCAGTTCTTGCACTTACCAGAATCATGTCCTACTTTGGCAATTAGCTAATGAGATTGTCAAGTTTTGGCGCCAACTTTGGGAACCTGTTTCCAAGAATTGATATACCCACATCATAGTGCCAGCTTTTCTGGATTCCCAGACACTTGCTGCAAGAGCAGGAAGGAACCCAACCCTTTACGGAGTTCATTGTGAGCTTCATGAACATGTTTCTGACTTTATAATATGTCTAGTTTACGGGAGTCTTATCAGACACTTTGGATAATTTTTCAGTTGCATTACACATGCAGCAATTTGCAAGAGATTAACCAGTTCTTGGGCACTTAATTATAGCCTTAAGGAATCACACTGTTCAAGCAACCTTGTCAAGAACTACAACTTATTCCAGGAATACCTGGGTCCCTTATTTTGTATTGCTTCCAGTATTAATTTCAGTACATGCTGCCTCTGTAGTTCTTTCCAAATAGATGGAGTGTTAAACAGCCATGATCAGACACCCTTACAGGCACTCGTTGCATAGTTGCTTCAGAGCTGCAGTTTTTTGTGATGAAATAAAAGAGATAAATAATGGCTTCAGGTGAGTTTCTTTTCCTCAATCTGTTACAACTTCCTCAATATAGCTGCAACAAATAAATATTTTCTCTCGCATGCACCAAAAAACACAGAGAGGGAGCAAAATGTCCTGCATGCACAAGGCAATCCCTGGTATTGCCAGGGCTGCTTGTTGTTAAGAACCAGGTAGAAAGACCTCTCTCTGTCCAAGAGTCTCTGCAAGGGCTACATGAGCAATGGAGCTGGCATATGGCAGTGGCTTGTGTTCCCGATGCGCCCGTTGTTTTTTGTGTAGGTGGCAGACTTTTCCTGAATATTCTTTCTTTTGATCTCTTCTGCCCTTTTGAACGTTGATAAAAGTTACCGTATTTTTTGCACCATAACACTCACTTTTTTCCTCCTTGAAAGTAAGGGGAAATGTCTGTGCGTGTTATGGAGGGAATGCCTACGGGTGGCAGGGGGTATCTGCTGCAGTTGTGAGCAGAGGATCCATGGTTCCCCTTCCTTCCCTCCTCCGTGGCTCGCTTTGAAACAGCAAAGTGGGAGAAGAGCCGCTGAGTGGGGAGGAGAGATGGACAGAGAGCCTGCTTCTTTAAAGGAGCAAAGTGGGAGAGGCGAGGAGCCTTCTCCACTTATACCGCTCTTCTTCATTATTAGCAGCATCCTTCTCCACCCACCCCATGCGTGCTCCTTCTCCCCTTAAACCCCTGTTCTGCATTATTAGTAGCATCCTTCTCCACACACCCCATGCGTGCTCCTTGTCCCTTGAGTGCTTTTCCTTCCCTCCCCACTTAAAACATGGTTACAAAGCACGGATCCACATGGATCCTCAGGATTTTTGCACTGGGTCACCCCAAATTCACCATCAGATCACATGTCTGTGGCCACAGCATGAACCACAACAATCATACATCCACTGTTTCATTTAGAATATTTTTTTTCTTGTTTTCCTCCTCTAAAAACTACGTGCGTGTTATGGTCGGGTGCGTGTTATAGAGCGAAAAATACGGTACATAGTGGGAAGATATGCAGTCTGCTGTTGATGTGTACTGCTAGGCACAAGAAAGGATTCTTACCCTTCTCACAAGCATGGGAGTTGACTGAAGTGGCTATGCACCTTTAATGCTTTTGAGGATGCATTTTTTTAAAAAGCGTGTGTGCATGCACACGCACACAGAGATGTTGGAGTTGCAAATTCTTGAGTTTTTGTAGGGTTACCCTACGTCCGAAATTCCCCAGAAATAGCCGGCAATCAGCCGTTGGAAACAAGTGTGGATGGAAATCGCTGAAACGTCAACCTGTGTCGGCACTGTCGTTCATTTTCTCTCTCTCTTGAGATTTTGCAAAAAAACAAACACACAACTCAACAACTTTGGGCAAAACTCTAACAACTTTTCTTTCTGGATTTTTCACTTTTTGAAATAATGGCAACCCAGTCGTCCCGTCCCGTCCCCCCATTATAATTAGAAATAAAATCTCTTGAGTAAAAATTGGGGAGAGGTGAGGCTGGTGTGAGAATAAGGATGCCGCAAGCCTACAAAACACCTCATTTTCGCCTATGAAATGTTGGAGGGTATGCTTTAGCTCAGTGCAGGCGTTCAGATCCTACATTGATCAGGATTGTGCTACTCTGCCCTTACTGCCTGTGGCAGAGGTGCCAGTCTGTCTGGCACCCCTTTGTTGGGCTTCATGTTTCCATAGTGGCTTACATGCATGGAGCCCAACACATGTCATTCTGCTGCACAGACTTAATAATAATAATAATAATAATAAATTTTATTTATACCCTGCCCCTCCTGGCCAAAGCCAGGCTCAGGGCGGCTAACACCAATAAAATCACAGTAATAACATAATAAGAGAAAAAGAGAGAGAGAGAGAGAAAGAAAAGAAGAAAAAAAACCCCAATTTAAAATACAGGTTAAAATGCAATTTAAAATGCAGCCTCATTTTAAAATAGCCGATAAATCAAGACCATAAGGGGAGGGAAACATAAGGGTCAGACTGAGTCCAAACCAAAGGCCAGGCGGAACAGCTCTGTCTTACAGGCCCCGCAGAAAGATGTCAAGTCCCGTAGGGCCCTAGTCTCTTGTGGCGGAGCGTTCCATCAAGTCGGGGCCAGTACTGAAAAGGCCCTGGCCCTAGTTGAGACTACTTGAGTGATGGCCATATGCCCTAGGCACCTAGATATATGAACCCTATCCTAAGAGTATCTGCTGGAGCCTTGGCAGGGGGTTGGTGGTGATGACCCTCAGGACACCTTCCAGATGTGCCGTTCTGTGATTCTATGAGTGCAGCATCAGTGCTCTCAAGATCTCCTTGCTGCACGTCGGACATGAACTTCTGCAATAAAATAAGTATATCAAAATCAACGCAGAAGGGAGTGAGCCCTGGCTCCCACCTCTCTCTCAGGACCAGAGAGATGTCAGATTTGGTTGGTCGGTGTGGTAGAGGAAACATCAGACATGGACTGAGGAGATCAAGGTTCTTTGGGCCGGTCTGCCTGTTAGTCTAACGTACACTGTGAGGATAAAATGGTGAGGAGGGAAAACGTGATCCTTTTTTAAAAAAACACAAATACTTAAAAGTCAGTCTGTGTTTCTGTGGTACTAAAATGCATTTATATCTGGCTGTTTTCTGCTCATTGTTCCATGTTAGTATACTATGTGTTGGGGCTTCGTGGGAGCAAGTGGCGCCTAAATTGTCACCGTTACCCCGTCCCCCTTCTTGTAAAAAATGCACATTTGAACGTTTAGGAGGGAGAGAAAGGGGGGGGAGATAACATCTGTTTCTCTTTCCTGTGGTATTTCTCAAAATGGAGACCCAGATTCTATCTAGGACATGTGAGCCGTGTTGCAATATGTAATAGCGTTGGGTGTGGGGAGAGATTAGCAGACCTTCCATTTTCAATAACGGAGTGGAACTAAGGGGACTAAGGAACATCATCGAGCTCTTCCTTCAGAAGCAATTGCCATCTCTGAATTTTTATGTTTGAACTTGAAGCGATGATATGTTGTTGTAGCAATGGAAAGGTATCCAGGTCACAGCTTCACCGATGCAAGCCTATTGTCGTGTCATATGACGCAGGGTACATGCAGATCGCAGATAAGCCCAAATAGCCCTGACGTACATTAATCTGCCAGAGCAGGCAAACCCCTAAACTCCTTCAACCCTAGAACGACAGCACGCTTAGAAATGGCGTTCGCTGCTGATTTCTTGTTATCTTGCAAATCTCGGTCAATGCTGAATATGAAATTAAGATGGCTAAAGTGAATATTTCTATTCCAGAAACTGCCATTCACCATTCCCGAGCTAGTTCAAGCATCTCCTTGCCGCAGTTCAGATGGAATTCTGTACATGGGTAAGGCTCCACTTGCTTCCTAAAAGTTAACCTGAGTGCATTTTAGGACACTGTCACAGACGTTGGTGCATGGAAATACTTCCCCTCTTCCAGCTCTTCTATCCCCATCGGTATTTTCTGGTATTTACGCCTAGCTTTTGATTCCTTAGGGATGCGGGTGGCGCTGTGGGTTAAACCACAGAGCCTAGGACTTGCCGATCAGAAGGTCGGCAGTTCGAATCCCCGCAACGGGGTGAGCTCCCGTTGCTCGGTCCCTGCTCCTGCCAACCTAGCAGTTCGAAAGCATGTCAAAGTGCAAGTAGATAAATAGGTACTGCTCCGGCGGGAAGGTAAACGGCACTGCTCTGGTTCGCCAGAAGCGGCTTAGTCATGCTGGCCACGTAACCCGGAAGCTGAAGATGAGCGCCACAACCCCAGAGTCGGCCACGACTGGACCTAATGGTCAGGGCCCCTTTACCTTTTACCTTTGATTCCTTATGACCACACAAAAGCACCTGTGACACACTGTTTTGTCCATGGTCTTTTTAAACGTGTTTGTGTGTATATAATCTCTTTCATGCTCAAAATAGACCTCTGTCTTAGCCAGACCACCCAGAGCTATCTCCATGTAGGTTTCGGATAGCTGGGTTTAATTTTACGTTCTGCACATTGACTGGAGTCACAGACAACAGCCCTTGCCAGTTCCTTAAGTAGTTTTGCATGGCTAGCATGCATTATTGAGCTCTGATAGGGCTCCTTGCTTGCCCAAGTGGAATTACAGAGTGATATGTGCTCCGCCTACTTTTGCTTCTGGCCCCACCCACCACCAGCGATGTTGCCCCTAGAAGGTTGCCTAGAAAGGAACGTGACCTCCAGCTCTACCATAAAGCACACTGTGCTGTAAAAGCAATGTTCTGAGTAGCCAGTTGCTGGTTGGCAGGAAACAGAGGAACAGGGTGTTTTCAGAATTGATTTTAGCAGTACTAAAATGCTGATATTTCCCATTTAGGAAAGAAGCAAGACAGCTGGTATGTGGTGGACCTCATGACAGGGGAAAAACAGCAGACCTTAACTTCTTCATTTGCCGAAAGCCTGTGTCCGTCTACATCTCTCCTGTATCTTGGTCGAACAGGTAACACACACACACACACACACACACACACACTCAAAAACCCTCTCCCCTGCTTCAAAGGTAGCTTTTGAAAGCCAAGCCAGCCAGACCTGAAAGGAATAAGCTCATCGTAATGAAGTTTATTTAACATATCTAGATGAAGGCTTCATGCTAAAAAATCATTAACTTTCACCTAACAATGGGACTGTGCCGTTTGCATGCATTCGACGGAGTTTACAATGGCTGCTTGCCCTTTGGTGGATTGTTCGTCGTTTTATTTTATTCAGGCAGAAACAAGTTATCCCACGTCATCCACAAACTAATTGGGTCTTGTCAAAATGGCTGTTGAACAAGGCCAGGGAGGATCCATTTGGCCCAGCATCCTCTTGGCCACAGTGGCCCACCCCCTGCAGCTGGGAACCTGTGAAGGCAGTGGTAGCCCCCTGCCCACTTGTATCTGGTGTTATTCATGGGCAGGGACGCAGGTGGTGCTGTGGTCTAAACCACTGAGCCTCTTGGGCTTGCCGATCGGAAGGTCGGCGGTTCGAATCTCTGCGACGGACTGAGCTCCCATTGCTCTGTCCCAGCTCCTGCCAACCTAGCAGTTCGAAAGCACGCCAGTGCAAGTAGATAAATAGGTACCACTGCAGCAGGAAGGTAAACGGTGTTTCTGCACTCTCTGATTTCCGTCACGGTGTTCTGTTGCACCAGAAGTGGTTTAGTCATGCTGGCCACATCACCCGGAAAGCTGTCTGCGGACAAACGCCGGCTCCCTCAGCCTGAAAAGTGAGATGAGCACCGCAACCCCATAGTCGCCTTTGACTGGACTTAACTGTCCAGGGGTCCTTTACCTTTACCTTTTTTACCTTATTAATAGGCTGCCTCTTAGCCTGGAGGTCCAATGTAGCTTGTCATTACTTCAGTCCATTTCTAGAAAGTAAAGAGGCGAGTCTGGCTGGCCACAAGGGGTGTGGGATGGGAGGGAGCAGCAATAACTTTTCTTGAGCGCCTGAATGTTGGTGGCTTGTACTTACCTGGAAATCTGCTAAGAATGGAGTGAGCTAGGAAGACGGGCTCATAGCTCAGTCTTAACGGCATGTATTTTGAATGCTGGTTGCAGGTTCAATCCCTACAGGCATCGCCTGTTTTTTAAAAAAGAAAGAACAGGTAACAGGTGATAGCAAAGACTTCTCTGTCCCTGCCTGAGATCTCAGGGGAGCTGTTGCCAGTCAGAGGAGACAATAGAAGGACTGATAGTCTGACTTGATATAAAGCTAACTTCCTGTGTTCCAAGGACCCTCAGCAGGCCATTTTGCAGAGAGGGCACCTCAAGTATGTTATTTTGCTGGGTGTGGGAGCCAAAACGCCTGCATGTTCCTGTCTGAACGTGGCCTTTGGTCTTTGAACTCAATAGCGTTTTTCAGTAGTGCAAGATCCTGTCTTGTAACCATATCATTAGTCATAGCGCAGAAGCCAGGGGCTCCTCAACCCGCAGTCTCAGAAACTGGAAAATACGCTTCGAAGGTTGCAGGAGGTGCCGCTCAGCCATGATCTGTGAGATTCTAGCTTGTAAGACAGATACTAGTCCATATTCAGAGGCAGGCGTGTAGTTTCATGAACTGGAAAAAAAGTCTATAATCAGAAATTGAGCAGCAAATTATAAGAGGAGTCAGATTTTCTTTTCAAAACACTGCAGGATAGGTGTTTAAATCTGCTAATCATGGGGAGGAAATTTGCAAAAAAATACAATGATGTTAAGATATCCGCATACTTTGTTTTGAGGAACCACTGGCAAGAGAGGTGGGTGCTTGGTTTTGTTTGACACAGTATGAATTGAAATTTTGGGATTATTTTTTTTTTTGAACAGAGTATACCATCACTATGTACGATACCAAGAGTAAGGAGCTACGATGGAACGCCACTTACTTTGACTACGCAGCCACCTTGCCTGATGAAGACGTCCAATATAGTAAGACCTGGGGTTCTAATTTCAGGCTGAAATGCTAATACTGTACATTTCCCATAACTATGAGTTCGCAAAGGCTTTGTGTGATTGCTTGCATCTCTTTCCCTTGCAGAAATGTCCCACTTTGCATCTAACGGAGACGGACTGGTGGTCACTGTGGACAGCGAGTCAGGCGATGTCTTGTGGATCCAGAATTACGGCTCCCCTGTTGTGGCCTTTTATATCTGGCAGCGGGAAGGGTTGTGGAAAGTGATGCATACAAATGTGGGCATCGAGACCCTGCGCTATCTCACCTTCATGTCTGGCGAAGTTGGACGCATCACTAAGTGGAAGTATCCTTTTCCCAAAGAAACAGAGGCCAAAAGCAAATTGATGTGAGTATAATTTCTGCCCCTTCTAAATGGTATTATTTAAAAAACGTGTTTATTGTGTCAGGTCAACTTGGCTATTATCTAGCATGGAATTAAAACGTGCTTTCACTGTGGTCTCCCATTTCCTGCAAGTAAATAAATAATAATAATTGTACACTTCGCTTCTGCAGATTATGTAACGAAATCACCCTATATTAAATAATTTGCATGTTCACAGAGGGCTTTTCCAAATGTTTGTTTTACTGTCAATCTTTATTTTTTTTAGTGCCGGACTGCTTCAGTACCCAGCCACCCCAAAAATACAATCCAAACAGATATCCAAGATGTGATGGGTGTAATGGGATATTCCTGAAACCGAAATCATTCATTTGATTTCTGTTTGAGGAATATCTCGTGTATCAGCAGCCTCTTGAGATGTTAAAATCTTCTAGCAAAATCCCTGCTCCATACCCCTGGGCTGCTTTTTGTGAATGTTCCCCTCCCCTGCCCTTTAAATATATTCGTAGACTCTTGCTTCTCCTTTGCCATAGTGTATTTCTTCCCTGTTCTTACAATAATGACTGTGATCCAAAGACTTGCTTCAGGGACCCCAATTTCCACCACATTGATCCATGTGCAACATCTCATAGTGACTGGGAGGTGTTGGGGGTGCTGAAATGAGATAGGCAGATCCACAGGAATCCAGGTCAATTTTTTAAAATCAGCCAATTACCTTACTTAGCGATAGCATAGCTCTCCCCTCCCCCCCGTAGCAAGGAATATATTTCACTATTATTCCTGTACTGGAACAAGAACCATTATAGGTTTGTTTGGTTATTTGTCATCTGGGAAGGCCTGGAGTGACAGGAGATCAGGATATACGAACGTTTAAGTAAAGAAAATAAGAGGATTGGAGTTGTATGTTTGTTTTTACAATACGCCATAAAAAACAACACGGAAGTCCGTTCTTAAACCAAGGTGTGCTTTCCCATAGCAGTGCAGGACTCAATTTACAAATGGAACACACTCAACAGGAAGCGAAACATGTTCTTATTCCAAGGCAAAGTTCACAAACCAAAACACCTACTTCCGGGTTTGCAGCGTTCTTAATCCAAGTTTTTCATAAACTAAGCTGTTCTTAAACCAAGGTACCACTGTATATGTATGGCGACACCTTTGTCTCTCAGCCGTTTCGGGTTCACCCGAAAATAAGTATAGAAGTACAGTCATACCTTGGAAGTCAAATGGAATTTGATCCAGAAGTCCATTCAACTTCCAAAACGTGCGAAAACCAAAGCACAGCTTCTGATTGGCTGCAGGAAGCTCCTGCAGCCAATCAGAAGCCACAGAAGCTCCGTTGGATGTTCGACTTCCAAGAGAATGTTTGAAAACCAGAACACTCACTTACGGGTTTTGATCGTTTGTGAGCCGATTTTTTCAGGAGCCAAGACATTTGAGATCCAAGGTACGACTGTATCTTAAATAAAGAAGTAAACGGCAGGCTTTGTAATATTTTCTTCCTGACTTCCTTCTAGGCCAACCCTCTACGTAGGGAAATACTCTACGGGCTTGTATGCATCGCCATCGATGGTTCACGAAGGAGTGGCTATTATGGTAAGCTGGGCAAGAGGCCTCACCAGAATCTGGAATCCAGATGCAAAAAAACAGAGAAAGGAACCTGAGCTCTTTTCCTGCATTTCTTCGCAATAGGAATTCATAATCCAGTTTCTACAGTGTGCCTGTCGGTATCTGTCTTGGGTGTGAAATGGTTTTTAATTGATCAGTTCCATTGGGATGTTATCATTGGAAGTGATTACAAAAATGAAACGAATGAATAGATGCCTTAGGGTGAATTTTATTTATTTATTTATTTATTTATTTAATCACTTGTCCCAATTGTGGGGAAATATTTTATTCGTGTAAATGACAAGAATCAAAGGCTTATTTTGTTCAAAGAAAAAAAGAATAAGCAAGCTACATGAGTTCAGCAAGCAGATAAGAGTAATTCTGGCCATTTTAAATAGGGGGGAAGCAGAAAAAGACTCTGGTAAATTGTTTATTTATTTTAAGGCATTTATAAACTGTTTAATCATTAGCAATTCTAAGCAGTGTACGTGAAATTGAACCATACAGAGAATTAAAACAATACAAAGTCATCCTCAAACCGAAGATTGACTTAAAATGCCTGCTGGAATAAGGAAGTCTTTTGTCATGTTCAGATCTCATTCGGGAGCAAGTTCCACAAGTTTGGTCTAGATGCAATATCTGTGGCAACCATGGTTTCACTTTAATGACAAAAAGTAAATGGATTTGCATTATTTTCCTTTGATAATTGCTCTCCAAACCTTAATCTATTAAAAGTATTTTAGCAGTTTCATCAGTGAAGCCCTTCCTGTACAAGGCTCAGAAACTGTCTTTGTCTTATCCCATAATTAGCATGGCTAAAGTACTTCTTTGCAATGCCCAGCCTTGAATTAATGACCCAAATAAAATACATGAAATTACCTTCTGAGCAGCTTACCGTATGTCAACAACAGAGGCGCCTTTATGGCCCGTGTTCTTTGAGCTCATTGTTTGCCTGAAACATCTGTTAAAATGTTAAAAATCGGCTTGAACATCTGTGGTATAAAATGAACACCCAATAAAATTTAAAAATTTCTTGTTATCTTTTTAAGTGTGACATTACTGCATTCAAAGAACAGGAAGTCATTGCACAATTTCCCTCCCTCTCTCTTTCTCTCTAGCCCCGGGGAAGTCCCATACCGCTGATTGAGGGTCCCAAAACACACGGCGTAACAATTGAAGAGTGTGTTATCACCCCCAGTACAGATCTGAAGTTTTCATCCGGATTTAAACAGAAGAACAGTTTGCGCTATTTGAGGAATCACTGGCTTTTAATAGGTATCAGGAAGTAAACATCAGGATTTTTTTCTGTGTTGCACTGCCCTCTGGTGGACAGAATTCAAATTTTAAGATGCAGATTATATCCTCAGATTTATTTAAGGGTTTGATTTAAGAATTTACCAGGGGATATGCAAAATGCAAATTCTTGGTTTTAAATATTCAGTCGTGCCTTGCTCATACCATAAGATATCATGAGCAAGAACTTAAGAACTAAAAAATTAATGAGCAGGCATTTTGCAAATCCATTAATTTACAAGTTAACACACCATTTTACGGGAATAGTTTTTGGATGTATGAAGCTTGCAGTTGTATAGTTATCGGCCCATCGCTGCAAGACATGATAGTGGATTAGGTAAAGGTAAAATACATGCCAAAGTTTAATACGTACTGGTACATAGTTAACTGTAGGAAATTCTCAACTACATCACGAATTACTCACTAATATGCCCTCAGTCGGCAGAGCACCTTAATCTCAGGGTTGTGGGTTCAATACATGTGTTGGGGAAAAGATTCCTTCTTTGCAGGGGTTTGGACCAGGTGACACTTCCAGCCCTACGATTCTATGGCCATTAGCTTTAGAAAGCTATTAAATTCATAAAGGATGTGTTTATCCAACTAGCAGGCTAGTGATAGCTAAATGGGCCCCTATATCAGAGCTGGGAAGCCTTTTGCAACCTAAGGGCCACCTTCCCTTCAGGGAAGCCTCCCAAGGGCCACATACCAATAGTGGGCAGGGCCAAAGGCAAAATTTCAAAGAACTAGTTTCTGCATTTGACTAGGGATAAGTTTCCATATTTATGCCTGCCTGTGCCCTCCACCCAGATTGGCAAGAGGCAGTATCGGACTTGACGGGTGCATTCAAGCCAAGCTTGGGGAGTGTAGCAGGGCCAGTGAGGCCATCTTTTCCTCCTGGGAATAACAGAAAGCACATTCTTGTTTCCAGGGCACCACGAAACACCGTTATCGGCCCCAACGAAGATCCTGGAGAAATTCCCAAGCAATTTGCCAAAGCGGCACGAAAACGTGATCCCGGCGGATTCGGACAAAGCTGCTTTTGAAGAGGTTGGTGAATAAACGGCGTCATTAGGAAACTGCCATCACAGAATACATTCCACGTTGTGTAAAACGTATGCGCGTGAATGAGGTGGGGGAGACAGGATTTGCATGAGATTCCTCAGTCATGTGCGTGCAAATTGCAGGATGCGCTTTTTTGTTGAGATTGGGTGGGGGGAATCGTCCATTAGTTTTTCCAGTCAGATGTGTTTCTCGCTTAGATGTTCGCCATGCTGCAAAGGAACAAGGTGCACACATCGGCCTCTGTTTCTGTTGCTCTGCGACAATATCTCATTCAAAATACGACCTTTACGTTCTCCCCAAACCAGGAAGTTTGTGGGTCTCCCAGCTGGGAGCAGTGTGAAGGCTGTAGTTTAGATGCGATGTTCTTTCAGAGGCAGCGGGGGAACTTGTACACCCTGTTCCTTCCTAGGTGGGTAACGTTCAAAGCCACTCAGTACAAACTCATTAGTGTGAGTTCGTGGGCTTTGTGAACAGCACAGGAACACAGGATGCAGCAGTATAGCTAAAGCTAAGCAGGCGTGGAAGATCTTGGCCCCTTAGATGGGAGAACACAGGGAGCCCCATTTAAGAAAGGAGTATTAATATATATATATAATGTTTTATATTTAAATAAATGCAACAGTGAGTTTATTGAGAAACATGGCCAAACTGCTTCAAAAGCAGGACCAGGGAAGTTCATAGGAAATAAGCTCTAAAGGATGGCAGACTTGTTTCCTTGTTTTATTTCTATCTGCTTAATAGTGAAAATCGTGTTTGCATGGCTATCTTGGGTCGGAATCATGTCTTTAAAAAGCATGAATCAGTTCTTGATATATTTGCTTAGAAACACTGAGCACTGTGCAATTTCTAGCCACTTTTTATTCACTCCCCACCACCCCGGATCTTTTAAGGGTTGAAAATTTGTTTTGTATTCATTTTCATGTTCCATTTTGGTATGTAAACTGCCTTGGGGGAGGGTTTTGCCCTGAAAGGTGGCATAGAAACATTAAAAATAGACCTTTGCCTAATTGTATTTTGTTAACTTTGCAAGCCATTATCCTTCTTGACAAGTGCCCTTTTCGTAAGCAGCTGGGCAGCCCTAATCGAGGTCGTTCCTTCCATGGAAGCCCCTTGAACTAATGCAGTCTTTGCTTCTCTCAGGCAATCAATATGGGTGGCAGTTCCAGCAAGGACTTGCCTCCTCCCATTTCAGAGAATGCTGGAGAGACCCCCGGCCAGACGCCACCTCGACCAGAGGCTCCCGTCGATTCCATACTCAAGGACACGGCTACCGTCATCCTGAGCACTTTCCTGCTTGTTGGCTGGATAGCCTTTGTCATCACGTATCCAATGGTAATTGGCCAGTTTGCAGCATGCTAGTCTTGTGAATCAATAAGAAGGGCCGGCGTTGTTGGTGCAGAGCATGGACATTTTGAGGTCATTTTTTATTAAACAGAGATTTATGCCCTCCCAAACATGACCTCAGTAAGTCCTGATGGCAACTAGCAACGTAATCTTTAAAATAACCCATGGGGTACAAGAGAGTAATGCACATTTATATATTAATTTTATAAACAGCTTTCTTAAAAGTCTGCACTCCAAGAACTGGTCCTTAGTTAAGTCAGGGATATCTTTGTTCTGTATCAAATACAGTGGTACTTCGGTTTTTGAACGTAATCCGTTCCAGAAGACCATTCGACTTCCGAAATGTTCGGAAACCCGAGGCACAAAGGGCGGTCTGCAAATTCAATAGAGAAAATTGGGGGGAAAACCTCAGCGGAAGCTGTTCGTCTTCCGAGGCGCGTTCGAAAATGGAAGCATTTACTTTTGGGTTTGGGGCATTCAAAAACCGAAACGTTAAAAACCGAGTTGATTGTTTGGGAATACCCCATGCTATTTGGAGGGACAAAGATAAATAGCTACATCTAAGTGTGGGGTTGGGAAATTGCTTGAAGCTCCATGTCAGCTGCTTCCCACAAAAGTGCATGTTTTTATCTCAAAGTAAAACAATTATAATGTGCATTTTTATCATTATTGGGAAACGCATTTTAAATTAATTGCACTATGAATTTCCTGTTTCTTGACACTCTATGAAACCAGCGTTCCATGGTTGGAAGCTGTGAAAATTAAAGCTGTTAATGTTGAAGCTAACTGTGAGTTGTATCCAGAGTGCCCCTCTGCTCATGGGAAGCTCCTTGCCCTGTAAGGGGTGATTTTTTGCAAATTCTCCTTTCTCCTGCAGCCTTCCACACTGTTCCAAAGGGCGCACCCAATTCTCTGGAGATTAGGGGAAGTGTGTGTGGGGGTGCACAGAGATGGAGGAATCAGCAGAAATTCTGTTCACGGAAACCTCTGCTTGATTAAAAACCCTACCATGAATGGAGGGATACAATTGGATACAACCTAAAGCCACAAAACAAGTACCGTATTTTTCACTCCGTAAGACGCATCTGATCATAAGACGCACCTAGTTTTTAGAGGAGGAAAACAGGGGGGGAAATATTCTGAATCAAATGTTGTACTAAATTATTTAATAAACTACCGGTATATCAGAGGGAGAGGGAGAGGGACAGGAGCTGTATGTTTCTTTAGCGTGCGCACTCAAGGAGCGACGAGCGGGGAGACAGCACGGCCCCGAACGGACCCGACACAGGAACCCCAGCAGCCTCCTCTCGTGTAAGCAGCTCATCTCCCGCTTTGCTGCTTTAAAGCGAGCTGAGCTGGGAAGGAGGGAGGGAAGGAGAGTCCGTCTGTCCATCCCTCCTCCGCGGCTCGCTTTGAAGCAGCAAAGCAAAGCAAAAAAAAGACACCAGTGTAAGCGACTCCTCTCCTGCTTTGCTGCTTCAAAGCAAGCCACGGAGGAGGGAAGGAAGGGGAGCCATGGATCCTCTGCTTGCGACTGCAGCGGGATCCCGCCGCCATCCGTAGGCATTCACTCCATAAGGCACACAGAGGAGGAAAAATTGTGTCTTATGGAGCGAAAAATACAGTAAACATTAAATGCAAGAAAAGCAGCAGTTGGAGATTCACAAAATAAAGTTTAATTTCCCTCCATATTCCTCCCCCCACCCCACCTTAAGAGTGTGCATAATCAGCAACAGCGACAACATCAGCAATTCCAGAAACAGCTGGAGGAGAAGATACAGCTGTTGCAGCAGCAGCCTTTCAATCCTCCCATTGACTTGCCCCCCGAGGCAGAATTCCTGGATGGCTCCTGCGTCAGGCCAGAGAGCTCGGCCACCAGCTCACCAAACATGTCTCCAAAAGCATCCAACCACTCTGCCTATTCCAACGTCTCCGCTTCTGATGTCGGGAGCTGCCTTTCCACGGAGCAAGAAGAAGGTGATAAAAACCAAACTTAACCTTTTCTTGTAGATTCAGGCTGTGTACACATTGCCAGCTTAAAATGCAGCTAGGTTGTTCTCCGCCCCCGCCCCCATTCAGATAGGAAAAATGGATCAAGACACAGTATTTCATAATCAACCATAGGATAGATATTGATTGTGGCTAATGTTGCAAGTGCACCAATGCCCGAACCAGCAGTTTGGATCCAGACTAAATGGGGAGGGTATACACAGCCTAAGAATGTAAGACCACACTTCTACCAAGGTTTAAGCAAGCCTGGATGGAGAGATGTTCAGGATCAGGCGTAGAGATTATTATTTTTAATGAATCTTTTGAAAGTTTGGACATACATGAATTAGCATACATCTATTCCTTCAATGGGACGCAGGTGGCGCTGTGGGTTAAACTACAGAGCCTAGGACTTGCCAATCAGAAGGTCAGCAGTTCGAATCCCCGTGATGGGATGAGCTCCCATTGCTCGGTCCCGGCTCCTGCCAACCTAGCAGTTCAAAAGCACGTCAAAGTGCAAGTAGATAAATAGGTACCGCTCCAGCGGGAAGGTAAACGGCGTTTCCGTGTGTTGCTCTGGTTCGCCAGAAGTGGCTTGGTCATGCTGGCCACATGATCCGGAAGCTGTACACCGGCTCCCTGGGCCAATAAAGCGAGATGAGCGCCGCAACCCCGGAGTCGGCCACGACTGGACCCTTTACCTTTTTATTCCTTCAATGAAGTTGGTTCAGTTCACCTTGTATGACACCGAGGACTACCTAATCACAGTGTAAGTCTTGGGAACTTTTCTAGACAATCCTTGTATTGTATCCCAGTGCCCAAAAGCTAGGACAGACAGCACATTCCTGGTTTAGTTTTTGGCAAGCAACCAGCTGGAAGAGAGCTCCGCAGTTATGGGACAGACACTGAGCACCTTTCTCCATGTGCCTCCATTGCGGAGACTGGTACACAGGTGGTACCGTCAGTTGGCATTAGAGATTTCAGCAGAATGTCAAGGAGAAAGATGCAAGAATTGCTCATCCTCCCGTCAACATACGTAGTAACAACTCCTGTCAGGTGAAGGTTGGGTGAAGGATAAGAACATTGTTATGGCAATGCAATTGTTGGTCTTTGCTGTTACCCCTATAGACTGATTACACAGCTTAGTGTGCAACATAAATGAGGCCAGATAGCTCAGTTGGTAGACTGTGAGATTCTTAATCCCAGGGTTGTAGGTTTGAGCCCCACATTGAATGAAAGATTCCTGCATTAACAGGGGGCTGGACTAGATTGGGGTCACTTCGACAATTCTATCATTGCAACTGGTGTTGCTAAATCTGAATACTTCTTTGTTTTAAAAGAAACCAGTTAAGTCCTTAAAGGTAAAGGTAAAGGGATCCCTGACCATTAGGTCCAGTCATGGCTGACTCTGGGGTTGCATCGCTCATATCGCTTTATTGGCCGAGGGAGCCAGCATACAGCTTCCGGGTCATGTGGCCAGCATGGCTAAGCCACTTAGTCTGGTGAACCAGAGCAGCGCATGGAAATGCCGTTTACCTTCCCGCCAGAGTGGTACCTATTTATCTACTTGCACTCTGACATGCTTTCCAACTGCTAGGTTGGCAGGAGCAGGGACCGAGCAACAGGATCTCACCCTGTCGCGGGGATTCGAACCGCCGACCTTCTGATCGGCAAGTCCTGATCGGCTCAGTGGTTTAACTCACAGTGCCACCCGTGTCCCTCCTTAAGGACCCGTTAAGTCCTTCAAGTACCCTAAATGTCTTCCCTTCCTTTCATGGTGAGCCTTTAAGTGCCACGTGAGAATATGTGCCTAAAAGGTGCCATGGGTATGTTCATTCCCCCCCTTTCCTCTCCGCCCTTCTCCAGATGAAAACATGGCCACTATAGCAGTTGGAAAGATTTCGTTCAACCCGAAGGATGTGCTTGGACATGGAGCTGAGGGAACCATTGTTTACAGGTAAGGCACCAGATATGAATGCTGTACACCAGAGGCAAAGGCTTCTTCCAGACTGTTGCTATACTGTGGGAGGGATTCAATTGCATTCTGACAAATTCAGGTTGTTGCACCATTAGAGTAGACTTGGTGTTCTTGCAAAGCTAGCTTTTTTTTAAAAAAAAGTAAAAGTAAAAAAGACGACTCTTTGCAGTAAGGCAAATGCACTGGCAAGTGTAATATAACAATTTCTTCTTGACGCAAAGTCGCATGACCTCCCCACAAGCCAATTGAAATGAATGCCCGGTAAACTGTTGATGTTGCATAAGTTTCCCACCAGCTTTGTGCAAACAAATTGGGATGTGGATGCTCAATAAACAGGTTGCCTGGAAGCACCTGAGGGGTGCTTATTAAGCCAGTGTCTGTGGTTCTTTTCCTGAGTGTGTGTTGGAAGAAACAGCTCTTATTATCTAGAGAGCCAGTGTGGTATAGTGATTAAGAGCAGTGGACTGGTATTCTGGTGAACCGGGTTTGCGTCCCTGCTCCTCCACATGCAGCTGCTGGGTGACCTTGGGCTAGTCACACTTCAGAGAAGTCACTTCACAGAGTGTTTGTTGTGGGGGAGGAAGGGAAAAAGAGATTGTTAGCTGCTTTGAGACTTCTTAGGGTAGTGATAAAGCGGGATATCAAATCCAAACTCTTCTTCTTATTGCATTTTCTTTAAATATGCATGCCTATATTACTTGTACACTTGCTGGTGTCTGTGTCAAATGTTCACATTGGGCAGGATTGAACTAACAAGCCCTGCTAGCGGAAGCCCACACATGGACTCTTGCTAGCTCTGTTTCTTTCCATCTGTTTCCAGCACCGAAAACTGATTTCATGGCCTTCAGAGTTAAAGGTTTGCATGGTCTCTGTCACCATATTTATTCCATACTACATTAACACTTTCCAGCTTATCCTTCGAAGTACGGAGTGGGATTGACTGTAGTGTGAGAGGCCTGTCCACTTACACAACAGGGCTTCTCCTTCCCTCTGCAGGCATCCCAAAAACTTCCTCTGGAGGGTTGGTGGATTCCACTGAAGCAGATAATGAAAGTGCGCAGAAAGGCTGGAGGAGCAGAGAAACTAGAAATTTTATTGCACAGGCATTGGATGCCACCCATGGCACTTTTTTCTCTGCCACTCTTTTTCCCCCAAATTTTTTTTTATTGGTTTCCACATTTATCACATAGAGAGGAAAAAAAGGAAAACATTACAAAACACACAACAAGAAAAGAAAAAAAGAAAAGAAAAACACAAAAAAAATTCTTACTGCGAATCTCTAATTCTCGTTACATTGATAACTGACTTCCTCAAATCCCCTCTAACTGAATTTCATTATAAACCCTGTAGAGCAGTTCTCCAAATTCATGTTTCTAATAATATTCACTCCTTTCATTTACTATCTTCATCTCTTTTATCAATATTCTAATCCTTAATATTTACTACCACTTACTCTGCCCCTAAGCCTATTTGTTACTTCCAAGAATTTTCTAATTATCTTATATCACAATATTTAGCTAAATATTATTTAAATTTCTTCCAATCCTCTTGTGTCTCCTCTTCCTTCTGGTCGCGGATTCTTCCAGTCAGGTTGGCCAACTCCAAAAAATCCAACATCTTCATCTGCCAATCTTCTATTGTTGGTATTTCTTGCGATTTCCAATTTTTGGCTAATTTTCTCTGCCACTCTTTGAGTAGTTGCTTCTCTTGCTTATTTGTGTCTCTTGTGTAGGAAAAAGTATGGCACCCCTTGCAGCATAACTGCCATCTTTGTGACGGCCACACAAGTGAGGAAGCCATCTCGTGCATCAACTTACTCACATGTTTATCCATACAGACCAAAACCTTTCTCCTTCCAACCCAGAATAAAATTCCTTCAATACAATTGGAAGCATGGTAGCAAGGCAAGATCCTAGCTGAGTAACACAGTTAAATGCTAAGGAGTTTCTCTGCTGTATCTACAGGGGGACATTTGACAATCGAGATGTTGCCGTGAAGAGAATTCTCCCCGAATGCTTCAGCTTCGCTGACCGCGAGGTGCAGCTGTTACGGGAATCTGATGAACATCCAAACGTGATCCGCTATTTCTGCACGGAAAAGGACCGTCAGTTCCAATACATAGCCCTTGAGCTCTGTGCCGCGACTTTACAAGAGGTAAACTATTGATTATACATGCATCTGCAGCTAAAACTGGGAGGGCTTGGCAGTTCGAAAGAAGAGAAGTTTCCATTTTAAGTTACAGTAAGGCCACAACTTACTTGGGGGTACAGTCCAGGGATCCAGCCTAAAGCCAAAATTGCATATAGTCAAAACATGTTGAGTTCAATGGTGGTGGGATTTTCAGTCTTTTCCTGGATGCCCAAGCGTATTGCCAAGTGCACGTTAAATGTGCATAAGTTGCAAGCTTACTGTATCTTTTTCAAGCTTGATTGTGTGATGGGGTGAGAGCTTTGCATCTGAATAGATTTTTTTCTATCCTACATTTTCAGTGCATAATATGGCAGTGAATCACACCCAGGAAATTTTCTAGAGGCGAATAGACTGCTTCTATTCTAATTCTCTCCCATTAGCACTAATTTAAGCATACAAGATCATACACAGAGTGCAGGGAATACCAAGCTGTGCAGCTAAATCTTCTGCATGTTCACTCAGAAGCAAGTTCCACCGTGCTGAATGAGGCTTACTCCCAAGGAAGTATGCATAGGACTGCAGCCTTAAACTCATTTTGACTTTGTTTATATGCAATTCTAGTATGTGGAACAGAAGGACTTCAGTCAGCATGGTTTGCAGCCGATCACCCTCTTGCAACAGACGATGTCTGGTCTTGCGTATCTCCACTCTCTCAATATTGGTAAGAAACCGCTTTATTTTAATATCCAACCACTGCAGTGGCTCAATTTTTTCTCTCTCAGAGAAAAAATTAGGATACTTAGAGCTGGGAAGGAGCAATGGTATTATTATTGCTAGATATAAGGCCGTCGGTGCACATTGCCCCTTTGTAGCGTAGGCTTTAGTTAGGGGCTCAGTTATAATAGGGTTTGGAAATATGACAACTCACCCCAGTGCAGAGTGTGTGTGGTCCCCAGTGAAGCCTTAAAAGTTTTGGAAGGCAAGAACAGATTTGATAGGGAGCACGGGTGGCACTGTGGTCTAAACCACTGAGCCTCTTGGGCTTTCCGATCAGGTCAGCAGTTCGAATCCCTGCGACAGGGTGAGCTCCCGTTTCTCTGTCCCAACTCCTGCCAACCTAGCAGTTCGAAAGTGAGTAGATAAGTAGGTACCGCTGCGTCGGGAAGGTAAATGGTGTTTCCATGCACTCTGGTTTCCGTCACGGTGTTCTGTTGCGCCTGAAGCGGTTTAGTCGTGTTGGCCACATGACCTGGAAAGCTGTCTGTGGACGAACGCCGGCTCCCTCGGCCTGAAAGCGAGATAAGCGCCGCAACCCCATAGTTGCCTTTGACTGGACTAAACCGTCCAGAGGTCCTTTACCTTTTTCCCTGTCCTTACTATGTCCTATTGTGATATCACATACTTAGCTAGAAGCACATGAGAAGGTCTGGGGTCAGCATCTGAAAGTGCAGGTAAGGAACCTGAGTTTCCCTCTGGTGCACAGTAAAGTAGTAATGCCCTCCAGCCCACCCAAATTTAAAAGAAAACTGGGAAAGATCTGTGCTAATGGAGTAAGCATGTAACATAAGCCTGTTGAATTGAGAAAAATGTATTTTAGCAATACAATGGCTCTTTTTACTATTTAGAATCTCTTTCTGCTTCCACTTTCTTTACATTAGTGCACAGAGACCTGAAGCCGCACAATATCCTCATCTCCATGCCGAATGCCCACGGAAAGGTCAAAGCCATGATTTCCGACTTTGGCCTCTGCAAGAAGCTTGCAGTCGGCAGGCACAGTTTCAGCCGTCGGTCCGGGGTCCCAGGCACTGAAGGCTGGATTGCTCCAGAGATACTGAGTGAGGACTGCAAAGAGAACCCGGTAAGTCGGCTGCACTTCTTCTTAGGACTTCAGCCTGGGCAATATCTGGTTTTCAACATGGTGATATATCAGCAGCTAAATACTGCGATATGTTGATCAATATCACGATGTCTGGAATGTATCTCAGCTGCTGCTTCCTCCTGGAGAAGCCACATGGCCTGTCATGTCTCCCCTGCATCTTTTAAACTAAGCTTGAGGTTTAGAGACTTCAGTACTGGAATGAATTATTTTTTATAAAAAAACAAAAACAACCCACAGCAGATTTGGCAGAGTTATCTGACTAGTATACAATGAGTGAGACATGGGTGTTAGGTCCTTGAGCTCTGAGTTATTATAATTAAAAGTTGTATACCTGTAGGTCTCATCCAAAGGTGCAAGAAAGTTCCTTATGTTGCTGCCAATAACTTGCATACTTTCATTTGCTGTTACATTTCAATCTCTCTTTTAAAATGCTTCTCTTTCCAGACACACACAGTGGATATTTTTTCAGCTGGATGTGTCTTCTACTACGTGATCTCTGAAGGCAACCATCCATTTGGCAAATCCCTGCAGCGGCAAGCCAACATTTTGCTGGGTGTCTACAGCCTAGACTTCCTCAATCTAGAGAAGCATGGTAAGCAAACAGAAGTTTTCCATTATTCTGAAGTTGTGCACTTCTGTTGTTTCCAAAATAAATGTATATTTATACCTAGAGAAAATACAACCGTGGCATTCAAGAGTTGTTAAGATAGATAGAGAAGGAGACTCAGAGTTCAAACAGAAACTGAACTTTGCTCGTGGAACTTCACAAAGCTGCACAGATTCTTCTGTATACATATTTCTTTCTCTTTTTTTCAACAGAGGACATAGTTGCTCGTGACTTGATAGAGCAAATGATAAGTACAGATGCTCAGAAGCGTCCTTCGGCTAACTGTGTACTAAAGCATCCATTTTTCTGGAGTTTGGAAAAGCAACTCCAGTTTTTCCAGGTGAGTCGCAACCCTTTGGTCTGCTATTTAATTTTGCAAGCTTAAATCTGCACTGGATTATATACACTGAAATACTACATTTCAGAACCCTATAATGTACTGCATTTGGGCCTGAGGCTGCTTTGGAGTGATAATTGTGCTGAGGGAGCTGCAGTCACTAATCTTGGGGCTGCTGGAGAACTAGACTTCTGCCATTTACTGGAACCTTTTACTCAACATAGGAATCTGCCTTATACCAAGTCAGGCCATTTGCCCATCTAGGCCACACGGGCAGCAGCTCTCTAGGGTTTCAGATAGAGGGAGTCTCTTCCAGAAAATGTCGAAACGGGAACCTCTGCCGGGGGGGGGGGGGGGGACATAATTCTGGAACCGAATCTCAACGGGCCATAAATGTGTGTTGTCGATTTTAGGATGTGAGTGATCGAATAGAAAAAGAATCCCTGGATGGTCCAATAGTAAAGGAGCTAGAGAAAGGAGGCAGAGCAGTGGTGAACATGGACTGGCGGGAGCACATCACAGTCCCTCTGCAGACAGGTGAGACTTCATTTTGTGACCTTCATATAGAACTTGTTGGGGCTACTTAAGACTTAATAATACCCTGCCCTCCCCTGCCAGAGCTGGGCTCAGGGCGGCTAACACCAGTAAAATTACAGCAAAATCATAATAGAAAAAAAAACCCCAATTTAAAATACAGGTTAAAATGCAGCCTCATTTTAAAAGTAGCCCATAGATCACAACCATAAGCAGAGGTAAACATGAGGGTCAGACTGAGTCCAAACCAAAGGCCAGGCGGAACAGCTCTGTCTTGCAGGCCCTGCGGAAAGATGTCAAGTCCTGCAGGGCCCTAGTCTCTTGTGACAGAGCATTCCACCAAGTCGGGGCCAGTACCGAAAAGGCCCTGGCCCTAGTTGAGACCAGGGCATACCAGGAGAGGCAGTCCCGTAGGTACGTCACTCTTACTGATCATTCTTCCACTATAGAGTAAAAAGCAAAAGCAAAACCACTTGTTTCTTTATTTTTCTTTTGTGGTACCCGGCTACCAAGAGGAAAGAAATGGGCAGCTTGGCTTGAGTTTTTAATTATTCCAGTTTTACTTCTTGCAGATCTTCGAAGATTCCGATCCTATAAAGGCGGCTCAGTAAGAGATCTCCTGCGGGCAATGAGAAACAAGGTACGTGAATTCTGAGAAGCCAACTGCATAAATACCATTGAAAGCATGTTTTTAGGGTTGGAGGAGCTGGGCTTGGCCTCCTCATGCACCAAGGAGGTTTGGTGCCTGAGGTGAAGCCCTTGTTGGCTGGTGGCACGCTGTGCCATTGGAGTGACCACCTCCCACTGGACCGCCTGCCCACCCAACACCCTGCAAGGCCAGCTCTGGAGGGCTCACCAGGGGCTGTGAGCTCTTGTGTCCTTCTCATGGTGCCCTCCAGCTGAAGGGTGGCTGAGAGGCTCGCAGAGCGTCGTGAGGAATGCACTCTACCCCCCAGCGGGGTAGAGCGTGTTAACCACACTTGCCAGGTTCTGCCCACCACAGGGCCCCTTCCTTGAAAATGTTGGGGAGGCTGAATTCCCCCCCCCCCCAGATGTAGGCCTGGGCCCCAGGATGAGTATGAGGGGCCGACTACAATGATGGCTTCACTCAGCTGTGTATCGCAAGTGAAACTGCCACCTCTTGAGTCCCTACGCTTCTTTAAGGAGCATGCCCTGGCCTCAGCTAAACAGTTTTACGGAACCCACAACAATGCAGGCTCCGTTCGACTTCCCCTCCTGAGGCAGGCCAGCGCATGCTTGTCTTGGCACAGGGATTGGCGGTGGGCTCTGCAAGGCACGGACAGGGTAACTTTGCACCCTGCGCCTTGCGGTCTTCGCCTGGGGTGGACTGCATCTTTTTCCTCCAGGTGTATTTATTCCCCCTGGGAGGAAAGAGACAGCACGGGCAAAGGTGAAGGCAGTCAAACACACGGAGCCCTAATATCCCAGCTGCTCAAGCAGCAGGGACATTGGGGCTCACTCAGCTAGCGGGCAGGAGCCTTTTCTCCACCCAGCTGAGCAGCAGGCCGGGGCAAAAGCGCTCCAGCTCCTGCGGTGAGAGCCAACACAGTTTCACCCCGCGGATTATTGCCAAACTGTGATCTTGAAAGCCTAACATTGCCCAGCCCTCATCTCCAACACCACTGCTGCAGGGCACGTTCACACTGCCCTGGCAGCTCTGCGAGGCCGGGGTTGGACCGAACGATCGCAGCCTTGCAAAGCAGCATGGTGGGCACACTCATGTGGAGGAGAGGCTGCGGCTAGCTGAAGGCATTGGGCTGGAGCTCAATGAAGGAAAGGGGCTGCCACAGTGTCTCCACTGCTTCTGTCCCCAGGTCACTCCCTCCTTGGTGGCTTCTCCTGGCAGCATATCGCAGGTGAAACCAATGCCGCTTCCAAGTCTCTCTGCTACCAGGGCTGCTAGGAGCAGCATTGGTTTCACCTGCGATACGTTACTCCCTAGGCTTCTTCAAACTGCTCTGCTGAGGCACCCACACATTCCTCAGTGGAGCAGTTTAAAGAAGCCCAGGGGGCTGAGAGCCAGTGTGGTGTAGTGGTTAAGAGCGGTAGACTTGTAATCTGGTGAACCAGTCTCCTCCACATGCAGCTGCTGGGTTCTTTGAAGTCTCTCAGCCCCACTCACCTCACAGAGTGTTTGTTGTGGGGGAGGAAGGGAAAGGAGAATGTTAGCCGCTTTGAGACTCCTTCGGGTAGTGATAAAGCGGGATATCAAATCCAAACTCTTCTTCTTCTAAAAGCCCAGGGTAGGGACTTCATTAACCTGATCTCGTGAGCCCCGATGCCTCAAGCCAGAAGGACATCAGGGCTCACTCATCTGGGAACAAGCTGCACCGTCCCTGCGAGGAGCCTGGTTTGAGGCAGCCTATTCCTTCCACCTCATCGGTCTGGGGCCAGTGCAGCTTGTTCCCAACATCAGGGTGTATCGCCAGATTGCAGTGTTTGGCTGGTGATACATTGTGATGTTGAAAACCTGACACAGGCCTGGCCCTGTGGCTCCAGCCTCGAGGGTGCCTGGGGTGATGCCTCTCCAACCCCTCTGAAGAATTGAATACCTTGTGATTCTGCCTTCTTTTCCTTCCAGAAACACCACTATAGAGAACTTCCGCCCGAGGTGCAGGAAACCCTTGGTTCCGTCCCAGATGACTTTGTACGTTACTTCACCTTGCGGTTCCCTCCCCTCCTCCTGCACACCTACCATGCTATGCAAATCTGCCGCCAGGAAAGACTGTTCCAGCCTTATTATACGCAGGACTCAAGCAGCCACGTTCTTTCTGCAGGTGGTGTTTGAGAGCCGGAGACTCTTTGTTCTTTGCACAAACAGGGCTGTGAAACAGGCCTGTCCTTAGCAGGGTGACTCGAGGGATCGTCAGAGAGTTGAAAATCCTCTTTGAGAGTCCCGGACTTATCCAACGTGCCTTGAACTCTCTGCCTGCTCTGACTCAGGAAAAAGGGGCTCCGGGTAGGAATCCAAAGAAGATGCAGTAACTTGCAGAAAGCTTTATCCTACAGAAGTCGGGAGCAGTCGAAAGGAAATTCCCAAGAGGAAAAGGGAAAGGGAGGATCTGAAACAGCTCAGCTTGGCACAAGCAACATTATTCTCAATGCCTACACTGTTTGCTCTTTACATACCGGCATTCAAGCCACTTTACTGCACAGAACAGTAAAAAGACAGACTGAAACCGTAACATTGCCAAGCCCCTTATGGATCTCAGGAAGGAGCCTTTTAAGTGTAGCACACCATTTCCAGCCACTTTTGTTCCACTGCCATGTTGTGCACTTGAAGCAACCAGGGACCCTGATTTTTAATGGGAAGTGGCAGATTCAGCAAAACGAATGCAGTGGTTCAGCGAAGAGGCTAGCCCTCCAAATACTAGTTTTAAAATAGTTTTGTGTAGACATAAAATTATATCCTTGAAATCGCCAACTGGAAGCATCAGCCCAAATACTAATAGCTGACAAATACAGAAGGATTGGCATGCTACGGTATTACAAATCCAGAAACCTTCTGGACCAAGGTTTGGCTTTGGCTATAGTGCTGGAAATCCCTAATTCCTTTAGAGAAATCCGTTCAGATGTCATTTCCGGTTTCTTTCCAAGAATGTGACTAGCTTAATAGTGTGGTTTAGATGCAACAGTTGACACAGCTAGAAACGCTCCTTAATTTTATTTGTAAATCTTAATTTGTTTAGCCAGAGAAAACAGAGCTGGCGGTTTAAAAAGGTACAGGAAAACCTGTATTTTTAAAATTTTTAGAAACTCAGTCTCTTGGGAAGCTATAAAGAGAGAGAGGCATCTGCTTCCCATCTCGAAGGATGCAGTTTCCCTTTTCAGTGTCCCTAAAACAGTGATGCACAGGGCATGTGCAGAAAGCATTAAGAATTCCCACTGATGTGCTGTCCAATGTCATATTTGTAGTATTCTTTTACCAAAAATATTTATTTTACATATTTATATTTATTTAATTTTTACTTACAAAGTGGTACCACTTTGAAATGGTACAAGTGTAAAGCATGCCAAATCTTTTTTAAAATAATGAAAATAGTAAGTGAATAAACAAAAGTAAAATCCGCTCTGGTGCAGTAATCTTTTTTAAAAATTTTTAGGTTGACAAGGAAAAGGTATACTGCATCTTTTCAACCAAGCATATTCATTAGATCAGGATAAAATGTTCTCTCACATAAGGAAGTTTTTAATCTGTGTGGCTGTACTCTCTGTGTGTCTTAAAAGGAATAAGTTATTAACAGTTAATTATATGATTGGGCATTGGTATGGGTATTTGGTTTTTTTGCTTTGTCTTTTGTCCTCATCATTTTTGGGCCTTACATTACAGGGAAATTGGGGGTTTTTTTCCTAGTTTTATAATACAACAGCAGATATCAAGGTAAGATATGCAAATATGGACGTTACAGGATGTGAACGCTTGAAAATGATGGGTAGTCTTAACCTAACTTAATTGAAAAATCATATTGCCTATTTTTGTAGCTCTACTGTACAGTACTTTTATATTTCTTCTAAATAAGAAATTTACACAAAAATTAAAAGTAGATTTTGAAACAGTTGTATGGTGTCCTTTCATTTTAAAATGGCATGCATAGGATCGGGCAAATTCATGGAGAATAAGGCTATCAATGACTATGACTAGAGGCAGTAATGCTTCTAAATACCAGTGGCTGGAACCTGCAGGACAGCAGAGTGCTTGGATTCTGGCTCGCTTGTTTCCCCCCAGGCATCTGTTTGGCCACTGCAAGAACCAGGATACTGGTCTTGACAAGTCACAGGCCTGACCCGGCAGACTTTCCTTATATCATTTTTTTAAAAATAATATTTTTTTATTAATTTTAACATATAAATTATAATACATACCACAAAACGTCACATCTTATACAATCTATTTTTGGACTTCCATCAGCACCTCTGATGATCCACCATTCTATCACTTCTTCTGCATTTCTTGAATTCATATCGCCTTTAATTATCATAACTAACCATCCTCCCCTTTATCCATTTTTGCAATAATTCGAATAATTCACCTCACAAAACTTCTTGCAAACCTACAAACGTAATCTGATCATCACAATTACTTTTCAAATAGTCCGTAAATTTACGCCGGTCTTCTGTGAATCTCTGGTCCCTCAGATTTCAAATTCTTCTAGTTAATTTATCTAATTCTACATAGGACTTTCCTTATATCATATTCATATCTGTGTGTATCGTGTGGCTCTTCAATCCAAGGGCCCTGACTACAAGATTCGGGGCTGGAAGAGTAAAAGCTAGAAGAGAAAGCTGGGAGCATGCCAGCTTACTGTTCCACACAACAGTTCTATGGCAAGAACACACCAGGAAGGCGAAAGTGCCAATTGACTACCCTTCTGTGGAGAGTTACAATTACCATATTTTTTGCACCATAACACTCACTTTTTTCCTCCTAGAAAGTAAGGGGAAATGTCTGTGCATGTTATGGAGGGAATGCCTACGGGTGGTGGTGGGGATCTGCTGCAGTCGTGAGCAGAGGATCCATGGTTCCCCTTCCTTCCCTCCTCCGTGGCTTGCTTTGAAACAGCAAAGCGGGAGAGGGGAGGAGCCGCTTACACAAGTGTAAGCGGCTCCTGTCCGGTTGGCTCCTTTAAAGCAAGCAGGCTCTCTGTCCCTCTCTCTTCCCCACTCAGCTCACTACATAGCAGCAAAGTTTTTCAGCTCGCTAAGCCTGGGATGAGCAGGGAGGAGGGAGAAAAGCAGAGCCTGCTTGCTTTAAAGGAGCAAAGTGGGAGAGGAGAGGAGCCTTCTCCCCTTATACCCCTCTTCTTCATTATTAGCAGCATCCTTCTCCACCTACCCCATGCGTGCTCCTTCTGCCCTTAGACCCCTCTTCTGCATTATTAGCAGCATCCTTCTCCACACACCCCACGCGTGCTCCTTGTCCCTTGAGTGCTTTTCCTTCCCTCCCCACTTAAAATGTGGTTACAAAGCACGGATCCACATGGATCCTCAGGATTTTTGCACTGGGTCACCCCAAATTCACCATCAGATCACATAGCATGTCCATGGCTACATCTTGCACCAAAAAAATCACGCACCCACTGTTGCCTGGGGCCGCAGTGGTGCAAAAACGTGGTTACAAAGCATGGATCCACATGGATCCTCAGGATATTTCCATTGGGCTACTCCAAACTCACTGTCAGATCACATGTCTGTGGCCTCAGCATGAACCACAAAAATCATACATCCACTGTTTCGTTTAGAATATTTTTTTTCTTGTTTTCCTCCTCTAAAAACTACGTGCGTGTTATGGTCGGGTGCGTGTTATAGAGCGAAAAATACGGTATATAACTCTGCAATTACGGCTTTTAATTCCCCCCCCCAACAGTAAGCAGAACTAAATGAAAAATAAACGCTGGCGTGTGCATACATACAACACCCCCCCATGCAAGTCACATAACACAACTGCTTGTCGCATGAAGATGTCCAACACAGGGAATGTAGCAGGCCTTACCTTTGCTTGATTTATGTCCAAGTAGAATAGCTGCAGATGGTTTTCTGATGCACCTGCTGGGGCTTCTGGGAGTTGAGATGAAGCAATAGTGCTGCCGGAATCATCTGTGACCCATGAGATCAGGACGTTATAAAAAGACGCTGCAAGAAGAATAGATATGATGGTGGATCCGTTCCCCGTGGTGCAGATGGACAGAGAAACCTTAGCCTGCGTCAGACCCTACCCCAGTGTTTCTCAACCTGTGGGTCCCCAGATGATGTTGGACTACAACTCCCATCATTCCTAGCCAGCATGACCAGTGGTCACGGATGATGGGAGTTGTAGTCCAACAGCATCTGGGGACCCACAGGTTGAGAACCGCTGCCCTACCACCTGGTCTGTGTAGCAGTTGATAGACCATAATATGTCTGTGCAGGGCAGTTTTAGAGTGCTAGCGCAGGTTCAGGGAAGGACCGAAATAAAAGTTTCACTGTACTGTATTCTCCGACTTTGGATGTGTACACAACCAGACTGATTTCAAAGCATATCCGCTCCCTCAATAAGTCTGCGAACTTAGTTCACAGACCTACAAGTCCTAGCACTCTTCGTAAGCTACAATCCACAAGTTTCTTGAAGGTTTATGTGCTTCAAAAGTCCCCCAGGTACGCAACCAGTATGGGAAACTGCTGTCTCGATGTTTATGGCACAAGAGTTATACATAAGGCAGAATGCCCTACCATCCACAAAGACAGCCTGACAAAATACAGAAGTACAGTTCTTTTCTACTTCAAATTAGAACTATAAATGGTTTCGGTAGAAATAAAGGCATTGGATAGGGCAGGAAGAAGAGGGAAGTGCTTCTGGCAGAACATATTACTCCACTTCAACTCAAAGTATTCAAACTGCAAAGGCTAGTGGCTGATGCAAATGAATATTGTTATGAGTTTGGAGTGTTAACCTGGGTGCCAGACCCCTCTAAATCCTGGATGCAGTGAGTGTTAAAAGCTAATTGGGACAGGCTAGCTTCCTGATGAGGTAAGGGGAGCTCATGGCAAATGATACTAGCTAGAGTAGAGAGTAGACAGGAAATGCTGGGGGGGGGGGGACAGAGAGCAAAATGTTTGATTTCTGTTTGAATCCAAAGCTGCAGCTATGGGAGAAAGAAGACCCTTTTGGGGTGTTCATGCTGCGAACAGTTCCATCATAGGTTCAGGTAATAAAGGTAAAGGCACCCCTAACCATTAGGTCCAGTCATGGACGACTCTGAGGTTGCGGCACTCATCTTGCTTTATTGGCTGAGGGAGCCGACGTACAGCTTCCGGGTCATGTGGCCAGCATGACTAAGCCGCTTCTGGCGAACCAGAGCAGCGCACGGAAACACCGTTTACCTTCCTGCTGGAGTGGTACCTATTTATCTACAGTGGTACCTCAGGTTACATACGCTTCAGGTTACAGACTCCGCTAACCCAGAAATAGTGCTTGAGGTTAAGAACTTTGCTTAAGGATGAGAACAGAAATCATGCTCCAGCGGCGCGGCGGCAGCAGGAGGCCCCATTAGGTAAAGTGGTGCTTCAGGTTAAGAACAGTTTCAGGTTAAGAACAGACCTCCAGAACGAATTAAGTACTTAACCCAAGGTACCACTGTACTTGCACTTTGACATGCTTTCGAACTGCTAGGTTGGCAGGAGCAGGGACCGAGCAACGGGAACTCACCCTATCGCGGGGATTCGAACCGCCGACCTTCTGATCGGCAAGCCCTAGGCTCAGTGGTTTAGACCACAGCCTTCGGTTCAAGTTGTATATATGTGTAAATAAACCATATATCATGAAGACACCACAGTCTCTGCAGTGCCTCATTTCCAAAAGGAAACAAGAACCCTGGGTAGGCGTCTGGAAACCCTGAAATCTTGCACCGCTCAGGAATTGGGTGGCATGCGACAATATCTATCCCCACAAATGAGTCAGAATGAATGCTCAATAAAGAGTAGACTTAGTCCACTGTGTAAACTTTGTGAAAGCAAAACAGGATGCTCATGAAACAGGATGCGTAGAGCCCAGTAACCAAAGATGGCTTTTTAGAAGGCACGCATGCACATACAATTGGCAGTGGGCGGGCAGCTTTAGCTAAGGCCTCACCAAATCATGGGGGAGACTAGTAAGTGAAGGATGAGCGGTTGCCTGCACAGGCAGCTGCAGAAGATAATATTTGCTGGGCTTTTTCATCCTCTGCTACTCCCTACTCTGCTCTCTGGGGAGCAGTTTCTGTTGCTATGTAACTGCATATGAAACTACAATGAGTCATAACTGAGAAGGATATTGGGTCAGGGTGGAGCTAGTGGAGGCACAGCTGTTTTATCAAGTCAGGTGTTATGAAACGCTGTTATAACAGCCATGACTGTGCTTTTATTTTCCTCTCTGCTAAACAAAGAAATAAATATACTGTATATAGTGGTACCTCGGGTTAAGTACTTAATTCGTCCTAGAGGTCTATTCTTAACCTGAAACTGTTCTTAACCTGAAGGACCACTTTACCTAATGGGGCCTCCTGCTGCTGCAGCGCCACCAGAGCACGATTTCTGTTCTCATCCTGAAGCAAAGTTATTAACCCAAGGTACTATTTCTGGGTTAACGGAGTCTGTAACCTGAAGTGCCTGTAAGCTGAAGCGTATGTAACCCGAGGTGTATATAAGACTACACAACATGGGACATATTAATGGTCTATCTAGTCTAGTACTGTGTCTCCACCAATGGCCAATTCTAAGCAATGGATGCTGCACATTCCATTTCCTGTTGAAAACATGCACTCAGTGGCCCAAGGTCCATTATTATGTATTAAATTCGTATACAGCCCTATACCAACAGGTCTCAGGGTGGTTCACAGTGAATCCTCAGGGCAATTGGAGAGAACCCCCAGCACAGTACTTGGGGAGAAGAGAGAGAAAGAGAGGATTGTTCCATCTGGCAAACCAAAATGGTTGCTCCGACTGAACAATCAGTGAGATTCCATACATTGAATTCCTCCCAAAAACCGCAACCGCAACAACAAATAAACAAAAATAAGCAAACGGTTGTTTAAAACATT